AGGGTTGTGCAGAGCAGTAGCTTTTAATAGGTGATCATAGGAGCATCAAAGATAGATAGATAGTTGTGTATGAGAAGGATTAGCTGAAGAATCTGATAGATCACCAACACTTTAATTGATCCAATCAATGTGAGCTCCTCTGAGCCCCACCAATCTTCCATGAAATGGAGTGCCCTCAAATCACACTGGCTGGCTGTTGCATGCATTTTAATATACTCCCAAGTCTTTACACTTGAGTGCAAGTAGGTTCCAGCACATTTTGAGTTGCCTCAGCTGCCCCTCAGTGGAGCCACAAGGTTTAAATATTGGGTTGGAATGCTTAGTTTATGTGAGACAACCTAATTGGTGTTTAATATAAGGTTCAAGCCAACCTTGCATCTTCATGAACACATCATGTTGCCATGAGAACACCATGTTGTAGTTATTGGCCACTATGAGCTGAAGTTGTAAATACAAAATGAAGCTGGATTCTATCTTTGTCAAGGTTACTGTTCTGCGAACCTAAGGCCATGGCGGCGTAGTCAATATGGCTTGGTCCGACTAGCGATGTCCGGGATCATCTTAGGAACGAAGGTTTCGCCTGATCGGGTCAACCTCGGTTTTGGTAGGGATGCGTCTCTTCCACGAGCCCGTCCGCCTTTGTCGCTACCGAATTCCTGCGCACAAGCCTAGAACGAGATGAGGGGGGATCCTGACTTAGGCCCCTCCAAAGCTCGAGTCAGGAGGTCGACCGCTTGACGTTGCACTGGATCTTCCTCCTGAGGTCCCGCACTCGAGTTAACATGACGGGGATCGTGTCCTCGTGGAGTAATCCATAATATGTCATATCAATTACCACTTGTTGGATGAATAGTATGTATATATAACTTCCCTTGATTAAGAATTTTATGTGGGACAACAATCGTTAGAGTGATAAAGATTAAGACACAAAAACAATTAATTTACGTTAAAGGTTGGAAGTGATTTGTAAGTTGTCCGTCGGAAGTGATTGATTGAATCAATCTGATTCATTTTAATGGTAAGTTTCATAATACAATAATAGTTCCTTAAGGAAACATAAAACATTAGTAGGATAGTAATATATTAGAACTATATATCTGAAGTTGAGGTTAGAAATCTAATCCAATAAATTTTTAACATTAGTCCGATAATTAGTTAGCTCATCTGATAAGAATGTGAAGATATTATATAGCTTAGTTGATAAATATTTTGACTATTGATAAAAAGATTACGGAATCAAATCTCATCTTTATCACATAGTCTTAATTTTTTTTATAGATTATGATATATTTAGACCTTATCACATCCATATAATATAGATTGAGAGTTGGTGCCCAACATTAAGTTGTAAGGGCAATGGTTGACCAAAATTAATCTTCTCGTCAATATTTCACATGCCCACAACCATATATACTGTCCCAATAAAGACGCTCAATAACCCTTTCTTTAACCCTTACTCACTACAACAATTTGTATTTGTAGCTATCATTTTTATGTATGTATCACTGTGATTTTAACTGCGGCAAGCGATGACGATTGGTGTCTTCGAGCAAAAATATAATTACAGTCTTTATAATTATAGGTAATTTCTACGATGATTTAAAGTAACATATTTAAAGGAAATATGACGTGCATCGAAATATGTTCTCCTTTTATGGTGGTGAGGAATGCATGTCCTCTTCGAGAGTGGTGGACCATTGATCACCACATGTTTAAGAGTTAATTGTTGGCACGTACGACTTATATATACATATATTATGATGTACATGATTCGAAGACAAGGATTGCTCAACTGGTGACTTTATTAATGTTTATTTTAAGTCCAAATACATCTATTATGATGTTTATGAGATGGGTTGTCATTGCGATTCTTTGGCATCAAAACACTAAAAAGATACATACGTACCACTCTTTAATCTCCATCAATGAACTATTATTTGATTCTGAGATGAAACTCCAAAATAACTAGGTTGATGGACCGGATCAAATATTGATGGACACCTAAAAATAACTCTTCGATCTTCATAAAGAATGTCATAATGATACCAAAGGTATCAATATTTGATTCTTAAAAGCATTAATACTTATTTTCTTTATGTTATCAAATATGTCTTTAGTTATGAGTACCTGCAGAGGATGAAGATAAGAGAGGGATGGAAGTATTTTTTATTACCCATATAGATATGGGATGAGGACACATAGAGCACTTCCTAATATATCAATATCCTATCAATTTGTGAGCCTAGAAATAGGCCTCAGACACTTAGCCCACCTAATTTAAATCAAATCGAGTTAAGACGATTGTGAGTCAATTATGAACTATTGGGTTTGGTTGAACAACTTGTTTATAGGACGAATGAATTCAATATTCTAGTTATTATTATTTATAAAATTTGATATTATTAATTAATTTTAAAAATAATTATTTTAAATTAAATAGAAGAGAATATGAAGAATTTATGAGTTTTAAACTAAGAGAGGATTAGGGGTGAAAGATGAGATAGGAACGAAAATGGGAGAGACACTCCCCATCTTTTTCCACTGACATCCCTACATGTATGCATGTCATACATGGATAATACTTGAAAGAAATATTGACAACGTAAAAGGGTATATAATATAACACCTATGTGCAATCTATCTGCATCAACCCAAACTTCATCTGTTGCTGCTGTCAACTTGATGTATCTCTATCAATTGTTATATCTTAGCTTGGATATGCTTAAATTAATAAGCTAGTAGTAGTCTATGCTCATTTGGGGTCTCCCAGCTCACTAAGAAACCTATTCCATTGTTAACGTCAAGCTGTCCGTCCTCTATCCCAGTTGCGACTGCACTAAGTCCTTGCAACAATGCATATAATTAACTAATCCAAGGAAGGGGTCATTGCCTGCACGAACCGAGAAATTGCTACACCAATGTAAGGAAGAGGTTAGGGATGATCAAGATGAATATTCTATTTCCGAAACTTTAAACTCTTAATCTTAAATCGCAAGAGGGCAATCTGGCAATCGTACCCAAGGCCGGTTCTCTTTCATAGACTCTAAATTTCTCATATCAAGGATTTATATATGTATGCAATTATTCCTGGAGTAAAACTAAGGGTGATGGTGCCTGGAAACTTCCTTGTGTTGGAAGAGTGGAGTGTCTTCCTCAACCGCACGCCAAGTAGAGCGAGCACTAAACGATAAACAATAAGTTTCTGTTCCTTCAGTGAAGGGGAATTGGTGCAGGGCGGGTGCGTGCACCTTGATAATGCCATAAAAATAAGAAGCTAAGCTATCATGATCGGCATCATAACAAGTTTCCCGAGGAGAAAAAGGAAGTAGTCATATAACCCACGATAAATTCCATGGGCTCAGAACACCGCAGTTTGCGGAGGACCAGTTGAGCCATCATGCAAATTACTAAGTCTACTCGCTATCATCCTCCCACACTAAGAAAGATCAGTATACATTCTTCTACTCTAATCCCTTTGAACGATGCAGTCAATTTAAGCGAGTCAAACAAATCCGAAATGATCTTCTTAAATTTTCACCATATCTATCCATTCAGAAGTCGGTTCTTATATCCATCTCATCACATTTTCTAGGCAAAGGCAGTTTACGACAAAACTATGATGCCAACATCTTTTCGTACAGCTCTTGTTTCTTGTTAAGTGGATGGAGCGATTAGAAACAAAGATGGGTGGCTCGTCCGCTAACTACTCTGCCACTACCATGGCACCATAGTTGACGGGCACTCGGTTCATGAATTCGACATGATCTAAAAGAGAAAGAGCCAAAAACTTTGGCATCGTTTCAGATCGCTCTCGAATTCTACGTGTCCCGAGTTCAAATATTATAAGCATGGGAGGTAAAGGGAAACAAACTTGGATGACCGGGAAAGTTTGATTCGGTGGTGAAAGGTGGTGTGTACCTGATCCTGATCCTGCTCCTCTCTTTGGACTTGTTTGCAACATCTGAGCCACATGTAGCCAGATGCTCCACGCCTGCCTCTGCCAAGACCAGGCTGCAGATACTTGAGAGATTGCATTGCATTAACAAATGGAGACATCTGTAGTGCGAAACTGAATTAGAATGCATCTCACCTGATCTCAGATCCTGAGACAGATTTCGTCATGGAAGTGATAGATTGCCAAGGGAATGAAGACTCGTAGATAAACAATTCTAAAAGCAGGAAGCTCTGGTGCTGTCTTGTGAGATCACAGTTGTCGATTAATTAGTCGAAAATGACTAGTATAAACCTTTAAGTTCATTATCTAAAACAAAACAGAGCTATTTGAAGTTCAAATAGTTTAGGCACTCGAGATGGAAAACCTCCTCCATCACTCTTAAATTTTAATCTGTATCACCACCAGCCTAACCCAAGCTTGGCAAATAGAAAAATATGGTAACTGGGATTAAAAGATAACAGTTTAGAAAGGGCAACCGAGACCAAAAATTCAGTACCAGACAGAGTGTACTAGATCAATCAATGCCCATAAGTGTTTCCATAGCCAAACTTAAATGTTTACATCAGAAAGATGAGGACTGTTTAATGTCACAAAGTACCTGCAAGGTTGAATTCTTTGATCATCCTAATCTGTGGCTTCATGAGAGCTGATCTGCGCAAGAAAAGGGGTTTTTGAGCTCAATATTTTCATTTCACACAAAAACATTCCAGTTGATCGACTCAGAAAAAAAAATAGTTAACTACAGAGGGAAAGAAACATTCATAACACAATAAATCATTCTCAACTTTACACGGTGACCATTAAAGGCTTCAGGATTTATTAGTCACTGATACAGGCACTTGGGGGCAGACATTGTCATCACCCCAAGTATAGCCATGTGTAACATTCTGCACGCTAAAAGAATGCTACTTCTACATAATAATTCAAATGCAAAAAACCACATTTATACAATTAACAGAGCAGCTGAAAGATTAGCAGATGGCCGGAACAAGATTCGAGAAGCTCGTGATATGGCCTACACAGGAGCAGGATAGCACTGATTGTTTTACTTTGCTGTGAATGGAATTTTGAGGACAATCCTACATAGTACAACTTCCTTCCAACCAAACATTTGATTTGGCATTCATTGATGCCAACTGTTACTAAATTTCTTACAGCTTCCTTTTGGAATGGAGAATTGAAGCCCCTTTGGAATCAACATTCCAGTTTTTACACTAGCACTGAATATATTAGATTTATGAACAGAAAAAAATATAAATTACAAGCAGGCACCCACTTATTCAATCATGAGTCGGACCTGGCCGACTGAACTGCACAACTGGACACAGAGTGATCGTTCAACCAACATGCTTTCTTTTAGAAAGATGCCATTTATGTTGCTGAAGGCCCCTGAGAAGCAGAAACAATTATGCAGTAACAGTTAATAGGAATTTAATGGGTCACTCTTTTTCACTTTTTGATGAAAAAACTTCAGATAGTTGAGATAAAAGACAGAGGATCAGGATCCAATCTTTAGCAAGTCCACAGCTAACTTTATTATGCATCTGCAAAGGTAAAGCAGAAAAAATGTTTATCCACAATAACATATCGAATTTCTATATTTAGCTTCTTTTGAAGAATTCACAATGAGACAAGATTTGCACAAAAAGCAATGATCTTTCAGAATTTATTTATTGTTTTATTTATGGCACCAAACTTACAATTTGTAATATTTACTAATCTGCTCGAGCAAAGAGCAATCTGAAGCTTGATAAAGTAAAAAGAAAATCTGCAATGCTTAAAAAATTTCTTTCCCAGCACTTCTTTGGTGCATTTACTTACCTGGCCCAATATATCAAAATGCTCATTCCCCATTTATAATAAGTGACCGCCAAGGCACTCTCTCTATCTCCACAAATGATGAATACTCATTGTTCAGTGGCTGTTTCCATGGTTCCCCATCCATTTGCATATATGCATCTTTCCACTCACCGCCTCTGATCTCTAATCTAATTGCTGCAGCCTGAAAAATAATAATAGATTAATTAAAGTATAATTTCTACTTAATCAAACCAAAGGTTTCTTTAGATAGTTGGAGTTGAATTACTTGTGATCATATATTAACTGCATGGACTATAGAGTACAAACTACAAACATCAAAGTCTAAAGTGCATCTCATATAAAAGTTGATATGTCAACGGTAATTATAATATCTACAGATGACAAACTAAATGCAACTTTAAGACATTAATCATTTGTATATGCATAGAACATCCTCCAAAGATTTTGGTTTGCTAGATTTAGTTAATTGTGAGTTTATATTGCTCTATACAAACTCTCAGCTCATTTTTATAATAAACTAAATAAGGACAAAAAAGACTCTAAGACAGTTCTTGGTGTATTATTTTTCTTTAGAAAAGAAAGATAATTCTGGGTCTCATGTTTCATTAATAAAAATCCTATGAATGATTTTTACCGGCAGGATGAGACACATGAAGGCATATTTCAGTAAAAGAAAAATAGTCACTGAAGCAGAATGCTAGTGGATGGTTTTTCTTTTTTGCATTGTGTAATTACTTTATCAAAAAAATATAGGTGAAAATGACATGCAAGGAACAATGGCAAGATATCGTAGATACCTGTGCGATGTGCTTTGCAGATATAAGTTCAACCATAACAAGTGATGCATGCCACCCTTGCTTTAGGCCAAATATCTCGAGCAGGCCATCATCCATGTGGGCCTCAACAAAGCCTCTCTGGAAAGGAAATGCAAGAGATGGATAATACAAAATGTAGTCATAATTTCATGCGACTATGCAGAAAAATTGGAACTATAAGCTCTACCTCCAAAGCCTCTAAACATAACAAAAATTACAGTAACAAAAATGAAGAATGATTGACATGAATAATGGATGACAATGAGGATAATGATAAAAATTGAGATGCATGGCTTATTAGTTGTGACAAATGACACCAAACCTGCTCATTAATTCATACAGTAATTAATTCATAAAGTGCCAAAGTGTTTGTAGATACTCCTAACTCCTAATTATGTAAAACATATAGAAGTTGATTTACCTTCCATGCAGCAAAAAAAGTACCTGTAAATTGTCTAATAGACCTATATTAAACACAGCATAAATAGTTCCAAAAAACAAATTCTATATGTTGAACACTAGTTACAACACCACAAAAAAATTTCAACAGGAAGCAACACAAAAGTGGGATAATAGACATTTAACAGATCCTCTCGACAAGTGCCAAACTGGAAACAAGAACTGTAATTGTATATGTAAAACCAAATATAGTGAATAGATAAAAGGAGATGAATAAAGTGAGCATTTATGATCAGCCAAGCACCCAGTATTTCTCTTCCTTGCCTGGTGAAACCATTTGATTATGAAACTTAGCAAGTGGGTGCTGACAGGCTAAAGAATTATGTGCAAGTTATCCTTTCTTTCTCCAAAGATCAGGGGCATGAAATACCCCTAATATTTTCTTCAGCCATTGATGAGTAGGTACACATGATGGCATGATGGTTAAGTTCTGTTTTAGGAAAAATTTCAAATTAAATCAAACAGAAGCTGAAACCATACCAAATTGCAGGGAAAAACAGAAAAGAAAGTAAACCTTTTGTTCAGTTTCCAAAATTTTGCATTACTCAGAAAAACAATGATAATACATTATTGGAAACAACAAAGAAAGCTAGCATAGGAAAGAGGTCATAGACTTGAAAATTTTAGCAGTATGTTTTTGCATGGAAGTTCTGTTTCATCACTAATTAAGCTTATTACTGAATTGTGTGGTGACAGGACAAGACATATGGAAAAGAGAATATTTGTTGTAAGATTATTTTAATAAATGATCAGGCACAAACATCAGACACACTGGAATAACTTATAAAGATACATTATTTGACAAAATCCAAGAACTTCAAAGCATTGGAACATCTAGCTATTATCTGACTTTATAAACAAAGCTCACAGAAGCAACATCAAAGATATGACGTCATTCTATGAGGCTCAAGTGTCTACTCACCTTTTCCAGATATTCTGGTTTTAGATTACCCCAAGGGTTCCTCCCACTTCCATAGCTGTGAAGATTTAAAGCAACAATGGCCCGAACACTGCATCCATTACTTAGTCTGAATTAATTTCCAACTAAGGGTAAATTGCAATGCCTTTACAGAAACATTTGTGCAGTAGATACCAAAAGAAAAGAAAAAAGAAATCATGCTACAGCCTACAAGTATGAATAAAACAGATGTATATCAATTTTTAAAGTAAACTTTGATCGATGAAAGAGATTCGGATATAAGATGAAGAACTTGCCTTGATGGAACAAGAATCTGTTCCCATTCTGAGCAGTTAACCTTTTTAATGGATAAGTGAAGAATGTTCTTGAGCCCTCTGCAAAATTTTAAGCAGAACTGAAATGGCATACAACACCAACTTTCAACATTCAATTTTAGGTTGCCTATAAAGTAAGGAAAGGAGATAACAACAGTCTGAAGGAGAAATAGAATGGTTTAGAAGCTATAAAAAAGATCTAAGTGACATTTATCTAAAGATACAGAAGGAAAAAAAAAAGTTTTTAAGCCATCTAAATTCAAAAATACTGTTGCAAATCAGCTTGGTATACAATATACATAACCTCTATACAACTCCCCTTACTTCATAAACTCTTAATTACCTAAATAATTTGACCTGCTCTGAAAAGGAAATATAGGAAAGGACAAGTATGTGTGCAACCTAGACTAATTTGTATGATTTCCTTTCTATAAAACAGTTTTTAGTATACTTGCCAACAAGAGCACAAGGTGTTGCTTTTAGTACCATCACTCTCAGGTCACATAAAAATATAAATAACATATGGGAGCATTGAGATGTAGCATCACTGGCAACATAAGAATGGAGAAGAGGTGAGAACAAAGGAAGCTCTCCACTAAAAGGAGGATGAACAATCCATTCAAAAGGAGGATGAACAAAAAGCAATCCTTTGCAAACAAGCCTTGAATGGATGTCGAATTTGACTAGAATGTTCCTCACTCAAGGAATATAATTTTTAAAAAATGATGTTCCCTTAAAACATCTTCCAACATCTGAATCTTATATTTTGTAGTTATTCTCATATACATCCACCGAAATCCACTATTAGATGGCCTCTCATGCTAAAGGATTCCAAATTACTAAAAACCACAGCGATATGACCCTTGGAGAAAAAAAAATAACTATCTAGGTAACAGTTCAGCTAATTCTCTTTCTAAACTTCAAAACAAACAACTTTACACTATGATGAAAGTTAAAAATATGGTTACTGACTTACCATCTCCAAAATCTTCAATATGCAGGGAAGACTAACATGATGTTCCTCAAATCATTGTTGCTGATGGTGGTATTAGCCTAAATTGCCAAAATTATGAGAATCTCATACTATCTTGCTGACAATATTTAAATATTCCTCAGAAAACTCTGTATTTGAGAGCTTTGGGGCCAGTCCAACTTAACATAGATATTGTATCGGTTAACTTATCGTGTCTGAACCCAAATGGAACCATTCACTTGGTGGTTCAGTTGAAACTGATTCAAGGCTAACTTTAAAGTGCTTGACCCAGCTCACACAGTAAATGTTAATTTTTTCAGGTAAATCAGTAAACTAATTAGGTCAAAATGTCACAAATTGTGCTTATTTTCATGATCAACACTGTATGTATTCCCTACTCACCACTTTTTGCCTACTTAAACAAGGGAAAAGCCTCTTTTTGGTTACTTGAACAAGGGAAAAGAAGCATAAAGAACAAGCAAAATACACAGATCATCCTCAGTGGAGTGAGGAGATATCCAGGGAAGCTTGGGGCAGCTGAGTGATCAAATAGTTAAGCATTTCACTGTTAATCCAAATAAGACCATAATTCATGATTGGACAACCTTGTTCTGATCTGGTATTCGTATCAACCAAATAGGAGCCCTTGAATATTTTTGAAGATTGTCAGATAAATCACCAATATCTTTTTATTCTGCTGAACTTAACCGACTTCCTACAAATCAGTTTCTGACCATTCAACCGATTAATCAGGCCAAGTCCTGCCTGTTCCAGCCAAAATGATTTCTTATTGATCTCATTAATCCTATTAGATGAGACAATTCCCAAGCAATCTAATTGATACAAGCTGATCTGATCCTAAATCCTATGAACAATCCTAAACCCAATTCCAATTATTCAAAATAAAATGTTTATGTACTTGTGTTGAATGTCAAAATATGAAGCAAAGTGGCCTGCATAGATCATACTTAAGAATGGCTGTTTTGTGACAAGTTTGCATAATACATGATGACTGTAACTAATGGTTGATATAATTCAACTTAAAGTTTCATAATAAATTATCTAGTGGAAGCAATATTTCCAAAAGAAAGCATCGTTATTGCTGGTAACAAGGCAGACACAAACCTTAAACTTGGATCACTCATGCAAGGTGTAAAAAACCATCCTTGCTTGCAGCTATATCCAGTGTAAATCAACTGTCAAACAAACATCAAAGGAAATCTAGCATGCTGAATAGTCTTATGGAAATCAAGTTAAGATGTAACTATTATAATTTAGAAATTCAAACAGAATACATAAAGAATTAGTGGCACTATAATATGCAAAAGATGGTAAACCAAAGTGTCATCACATTGGTTTTCCCATGAAAAGGATGAAGAAAGCAACTTTTGGCATTTAAGGTAAGGTTTCCACAATTCTTTAGGAAAATCTCATTTAATATTAAAATCAATACCAAACATAAAGGTAAAGCATGACTGGTCCAAAAGCGAGTTATGTGAATTCAGAAATAAAAATTACTATTAAGCTTCAGCCAAAGACCTTGTAAATTATGCAAAAAAGCTAGTTAATTTGCCAGCAGCTTTTGATAATCACTTAAAGTACTATGCTAGAGACAAGTTACATATGTCACTCACCCATTTCTTGGTACCATCACCAATACGGTCTGTATTATTTTTCTCAAAGAATGTTGAGTAACTAGACATATTTATGCAGTTTTTGCCCACAAGTCACCAAAATCGGATTGATCACTTGGGCTCCTAAATCCTAATAAAGCAAATTCTTATGGCAGTATGCATAAAACAGTCTAGCGTCTAGTAGTCATACTTCCTATGTATCTGTAATTCTTTGGTCAAGTTTTAAAGATGGTCTATGTTTCAATTATTACCCTTTCCTCACTTGGATTTTCCATAACTTCTTGGTTGTGTCTGACTATGCTAACCATATATCACAGTTAACTCACTACCATTGCCAATCTACTGAAAAGAATATGCACTTATCAATTTTGCATACTATAAATGTGATTCATTATGATTTCAATTAACATTCTTATGCTTGCCCACATGATGACAGTGTATTAATACATTACTAATGTGCTAAAGTATAGGCAGTCATTTCCTTATTTAAAAAAAAAGCAGCGCATAATTATCCCTTATGGTGATAACAGAGTCAGAACTATTGGCGTCCTGACAGTTTGTTGAGGCTGCAGATACTTATTTGTGTCTGCATTCTTGACATATCCTATTTTTGCACAGCAGGGTTACAAAAACTCACCGGAAGCAATGAGATGAAATGCATGTGTCCTTTGCCATTTAGCTAATAAACCTGTAGATATTGAAGTTTGGCAAGCTGTGCTACCTGATATTGTATTTGAAGCAGTTATTTGAATCCCTGATGTTGATTAGAAAGCCAGAACTAGTGCAGTCCTAACAGTTTGTTGAGGCTGCAGATACTTATTTGTACCTGCATTTCTTACCATATCCCATTTTTGTGCAGCAGGGTCATGAAAACCCACAACAAGCAATGGGACGAATTTTATATGCCAATTGTCATTTAGCTAATAAAACCATGGATATTGAAGATTTGCAAGCAGTCTGATGCTGCATTTGAAGCAGTAGTTCAAATTCCTTATGATAAGCACCTGAAACAAGTTCTTGCTAATGGTAACATGCAAGGATTTGAATACCATATTGTACCACCCGATATCGGCGGTATGTATCGGTCTGCTAGCAAATCGGCACACAGACCACCCGCTACCAGGCGGCAATGGTCAAAATTTCGACCATTACCGATTTATATTGGTTTTCAAATGGTCAATTTGATCGTTGGAGGCATTCTAAAGGGTTTTTATGCCCTTTCCTCCCTCATCTTTCAATCCATTTCACTCTCACACTTTTTTAAACTCTTTCAAAATCATTCTTACTCACAATCTCTCTCTTATTCTCATATTTTCATTTTCCTAAACTCAACAAAACAACGATTTATGGACCAGATCAAATTTAGGAGACTAATTTGAGAAGATTAAGAGGAAGAACATTTTAATCACGACGTATGATACGGAGCAACATATCAGTAGTAAAAGTAGAAATTCTGACATTCACCAATACATGGCTCAGGAGTTGCCTCGGACACATGTGATTCACAACAATCAACCTACGTCAATCACCATATTGATTCACCAACAGCATACGGTATATCAATACACTATATCGTGAGATCAATTTCAGGATTAGGTCCGACAAACATATCATATTGATATACAGATACATAGGATCGAGAATCCCGATCCACTACCCGTGGAGACCAATCGTTCGTTTTGTTGGTAGAATCAAGTATATCTACACATGTGATTACTTAATTCACTTGAATCTTAAAGTTTAAGTTGTATACAAAATAATTTAATAATTCAAATAATTTTTCTATAAACAATTCAATATTAACGGAAGAATGATCCGGAACAGACCAAAATTGCAAACCTTGCATAAGGCTATTCCTCAAAACCCAAAAAAAATATACGGTACTATCCTTACCTAATTTATAATAGTTTTTCTAAAACTATACTAAATGCATATTTATTTCTAACTTAAAAATCCTATCATAAATTTTTTTGTTCTATTTTTCATGTATTTTCGGAGGGTTTTATGCTTAATTTAGGTGTACCGCTCGGCGCTCGGTAGCCATACCATACCATACCAAGCAAAGCTCAATACACCGGTATGGTACGAGATTAAAAACCTTGGTAGTATGGGGGCAAAATTGCAAACTACAATCTTCATGACGATCACTATATTCTAAGTTATTCAGAGGTACAATTATTAGGAAGTTATGCATAAACCATGTCAATGTTGAGGTTGATCCAAAAAAATTACTATTCAAACTGTTTACATGTTAAATGGAACAGAAGTATAAAAACCATACCTTATTTGCTAATGGTCCATGTGCAAGGTATGGTTTTTCATCACGTAAATGATGGAAACTATAAGCAACTTGAGCATCCATTCCTAGAATATGAGAACAAAAGTAGTGTCTTTCAGAAAAGAAACTGATCATTACAGCACAGAAACTAAAAGATAAGGAAACATATGGTAATTTTGCAAGCAACAGTTTATTAAATACAGGAAATCATAATCTATGTAACAATGCATACATGACTACAGAAAGGAACACATAATCATACATAAGCCAGATAAAGTTAAAAATGGAAAAACAAGTTGTATATGATACTCAGCCTTCACATAAAATAAAAAAGGTATCTAGATAGTTTGGTTTTCCCAGCAAAGATGAAATATCTTGTTGAACTAGTGCCAGAACCATAGTCTTTACTCTTTATCATCATCAAAGGATGAATTAAGTCTGGAATTATATTATGTCATGATTAACACTCAGGGAAAAGTTCAATATTTTCATTATAGGCATCACTGATAGAAGTTTATAAATGTTTACGCATGGGATAAAAAATCAATACCTATGCTAAAATAATTGTAGAAGACCCCATCAAAGCAAGAAATCATTTCAGGTAGCACCCCCTCGATATCCCCATCCTATAAGAAACAAAAGCAACACATTGTGGGACAGAAAACTTGCAGCAGAAAGAAATAACACTTAATGATGTTGTCAATTGAAGATTGATTATTTACGATGCATCAACTTTCTATGCACAAGTATTTTCATAGAAGTTGGGGAAATGAGTTCTTTTCCTACATTTGCTGGAGAGGCTAAACTTAGTTTACAATTCATCAAAAAGTTCACACAGAATAAATCAAAAGGCAAAATGCTAGGATAAGCTTGTTATGATAACGAAGATCCCATAAAGATCCAAAAAAAATCAAGCACCTCAAGAAACCCTAAAAATTTTTCTAAATTGTTGACTATCAAATTAATGAACCCCAAAGCCAATAATTCCTTCAGTTGCAAAAGGAAAATGAGGGGTAAGGAAAATTTTCATTTCTGTAAATGGAGTTCAGTGTTAGCGTGTGCATGCTTTCAGATGCGTTGACTGTTATTAAGCATTAGGTAAAAGTAAAAGAATAATGGTGTTGAGCAAACAAGAAATGCAAAGCCAAAAAAAAAAAAGACATCCAAGAGAGAATGAATACAAAGAGAGATCAACAGTTTTTTCAAACCCTACAAGATATTTATTTCTATCGTGTATTATTTGTCTTTGTCAAAAACGAATAAATAAGAGATGCTGATAATTGATCCTAGAAAACAGAAGATATACATGATAAGTCCTGTAATTACAGCTCTTCTCATTCACTAGGCATGCACCTTGAAACATTGGCTAGAGGGGTCAGAAATAGAATTAGTAGAATTTTTTGCTATATGTTCAGGTCAAAGAATTAATGGAATTGGTTGTCTCTATTTTGAATTGATGCATGCAACTTGAAACATTGGCTAGAGGGGTCAGAAATAGAATTAGTAGAATTTTTTGCTATATGTTCAGGTCAAAGAATTAATGGAATTGGTTGTCTCTATTTTGAATTGATGCATGCAACTTGAAACATTTGGCTACAAAGGATCACTCTTAAATATTATCACAACAAAATAAAATATTGATTAAAAAAATTAATTAAAAGAATTTGGCAAAAGCCGCAGCTAAGATTGCAGCAGAAGAAACATACTGGAAAAAAAGTGCTTTCACCCAGATGCCTGAGAGAGTGTGGCAGTTCTATCATGTCTTCTACAGGAACTGAGACAGTGATGTGCCAGCTGCATTTAGACCATTAAGATTTTGATATGCACTAAGAAGTTTAACAAAATAATATTATTAATGTTTGATACTCCAAAATAAAGTATGTGCAAAGCTCTTATAAATATGCTTGACATTACAGAAAGAGAAACCTATAATCCTCAAAATACAAAAGCAACTCCCTTTAGATGAAGCATATTATTCAATATTGTCAACAGGTTCAGTCAAACAAAAAACACATCAACAAAAAAGTGTTGCTTTTCAACAATAAAGTTGCAAGATCAGACACGTTTGAGCTGTAAGATTAAAAAAAATGGTGATGCATATTAGGATATAAATGAATTAAATTGTAGCTAAAGAATGACACTGGAACTACCCACCTCATAATTGCCAAGGCATATATTCTACATGTCCATTTAATATTTTATGGGAACCTTAGCATCACACTTACAGTTGATTACCAGTGTCATGTTGAATTATTTGGCCCACAAACAGAAGAAGAACATGGTCCTTCAACTTTTATATTTATTCAATGGTATGATACAAATAGGTTAGAAATTTGAACATAATCAAACTTATTTTTGTCTACATCAAAACAAGTCAACTTTTTCATGTTAATTTGTTAAGATCAAGGTTTGCCATGTCGCGGCATACTGCCCGACAGGGATTTAAATTTCGAATTGTACTGCCCAATACTAGTCCGCCAGCAGATCGATACGCGAACCGCCCATTACTGGGCGATACATTTGATATAGCCCCGTATCGGACGATACGGGGCTGTATTGGGTGGTAAAGATCGAAATTTCGACCGTTGCCGCTTGGTACAGTCAGTAACGGTCGAAATTTTGATCGTTACCAACCTATAACTGTGTTCCAACGGTCAATTTGATCGTTGGACCCCTTTCTCACAGGTTTTTAAACTCATCCTCCCCCCTATTTCACTCCATTTCACTCTCACACTCTCTTAAACTATCTCAAACTCATTTTTTTCTCATATTCTCTTTCTTATTCTCACATTTGCACTCTCCTAAACTCTACAAACTAACGATTTGTGAATTAAATCGAGGTTAATTTGAGAGGATTAAGAGGAAAAACTTTTTAATCAAGAGGTATGTATTCTTTTTATTTAAATAGAGAGTAATTAATTATGATTAGTGTGCTTAATATTAATTTATTCGAAATTAGACATTTAATAGGTCAAATGTTTATATTTCATGCATATTAAATATTGGAAGAAATTTATGATGGTAAAATAGGTTTAATTAGATTTTATTAAAGTTATTTAATGCTGCGATTAGTGATCTTAATGATGATTTAATAGAAATTTGATCGAATTTGGGTCAATTCAATATCTTGAATACCTATTAGGGTGTTTGACATATTTATAGTATTGAAAGAGAAGTAATTAATGGGTAATTAACTATGTTAATTATGTGATTAGTGTATTTAATAATGATTTCATCATAATTTGATCTATATTGGATCAAAATTACGTATTTAATGTTTCTTTTATATGTTTCACATATTTATGATGGTAAAATACATTTAATTAGGTTTTATTAAAGTTATTTAATGCTACGATTAGTGATTTTAATGATGATTTAATCGACAGATATGATTAAATCATCATTAAAATATACTAATTACATAATTAGTGTATTTGAGCAGATACGATAGAGCCTATATGATGTAGACATAGAACGAAGCTTATTGTATTCACAATCGTCGTATTAAGGAGAATCTTATGGCCAACAGTAGTACGGTGATAGTTGATCATACTTCTTCAAGCAATAGTATAATACAGAGCAGCAGATCAGTAGTGAAAGTAGAAGCTCTGACATTCACCAATACATACCTTAGGAGCCACCTCAGACACGTATGATTCATGATGATCAACCTACGATCATCACTATATTGATGCACCAATGGCATATAGTGTATCAATACACTATATCATGGGATTAATTTCAGGATTGATTCCAACAAACATATCATATTAATATACAGATATATAGGATTGAAGACCCCGATCCACCACCCGTGGAGGCCCATCGTTCGTTTTGGTGGTAGAATTAGCAATCAGGTATATCTACATATGTGATTGCTTAATTCATTTGAACCTTAAAGTTTATGTTGTAATAAAATAATCTAACAATTCAAATAATTTTTCTGTAGATAATTCAATATTAATAGAAGGATGATCCGTAACAGACTGAAGTTACGAACCTTACATAAGGCTATTCCTTAAAGCTCGAAAAAAATATGTGACACTATTCTTACCTAATTTATATTGGTTTTTCTAAACCTATACTAAATGTATATTTATTTCTAACTTAAAAACGATATCGTAACTTTTTTTTTTCTATTTTTCAAGTATTTTCAGAGGATTTTACGCCTAAATTAGGCGCACCACTTGGTACACCGTACCGTATCGTAACGAGCAAGGCTCGGTACACTAATACAGTATAAAATTTCAATCTTTGCTGCCCGATATAAGTTGTGCAAATCGGTCCAATAGGGGATTGGTACATGGACCACCCTGTACCAGGTGGTATATGCTAAATGGCCCTATATCGCTCGATAAGGGTCTGTGCTAGTTGAAACGATTGAAATCCGAGCGTTATTGACCTATACCGGTTAGTAACAATCAAATTTAAATCGCTACCGATGGATGGCTCAGATCTGACCAGTTCCATTGATTAAATCTATTTAAAAGGGTTTTTAAACCCTTCCCTCCCCCTCTCTCACCCTCTTTCACTCTCTCAAACTCTTCTACTCTCTTGGTCTCTTTATTGCTTACTTCTTTCTCTCATTTTTACATTTGCACTCTCTTAAAATTTTATAAAGCTATAATTTATGGTTTAGATCAAGCTTGGAAGGCTAATTAGAGAGGATTAACACCTAAGTTAGAGGAAAAACTCTCTAATCAAAGATATATATTTTTTTCTCGATTTTTGATGATTTATGAGGTAATTAAGCCTATTATATATTCTCAATGTCTAATATATTATATGAAGTCTTTATGATGGTCTTTTAGAATTAATTAGGGAGTAATTAAGGTCTTTAATGTTATAATCAGTGTATTTAATGTTGATTTTTTTAAAATCAGACACTTAATAGGTCAAATTATTTAATGGATTAATTTTTTGTATTTCATGCATATTAAGGTGATTTATATGTTTGTGATGGTATAATAAGTTTCATTAAAAATTTTAACACTATGATTAGTGTTTCTAATGATGATTTAATCAAAATTTAATTTATATTGGGTTAATTTGATGTCTTTAATACCTGTTAAGTGTTTGACATATTTATAGTGGTGAAAAAGGACTAATTAGATATTAATTAACTACGCTAGTATTGTGATTAGTGTATTTAATGCTAATTTAATTAAAATTTAATCCACATTAGGTCAACTAAATATCTTTAATGCCTATTAGAGTGTTTGACATGTCTATAGTGGTGAAAGAGGAATAATTAGCAAATAATTAACCATGTTAATGATATGATTAGTGTATTTAATAATGATTTCATCATAATTTGATCTATATTGGATCAAATTTATGTATCTAATACCTTTTAATGTGTTCGACATATTTATAGTTGTAAAATAGGGCTAATTAGGGTTTAATTAAGTTTTTTTAATATTGTAATTAGTGTCTTTAATGATAAATTTATCGTTATTTGATCCTTTATTAGGTCAATTTTATGTGTTTAATAGTTATTACTTATTAGAGTGTTGATATGTTTATTATGATAAAAGAGGGCTAATTATAGAGTAATTAGTATTTTTAATATTGTGATTAGTGTATTTAATTATGAATTCATCATAATTTAACCTATATTGAGTCAATTCTATATATTTAATGTCAAATATGTTGATTAACATATTTATAGTGGTAAAATAGGGTTCATCTATATCTTGTTATTCCAAATTAGGGTTAATCACAGCTTGCTTATTTGATTTAATTTTGGTAGGAATATGCAACCAAAGGAATAGACACATGATAATGCTTGAGAACATACCCGAAAGATATACGGGAACTGTCATCATTGGTAGTGCATTTATTATGACTACATCGACAAGAGTGGAAGAATCACCAGGGTGAATATGCATTTGGCCAACAGGTATCCCGATATTATAAAATACAAGAAGGTTCCAACGGAAGTCTGTAAATCATTTCAAAACAAGTTACTACAGGCAAGGGACGATACAATTAAAAGAAGAAAGAGCTAAGGAAGAATATTATAGGGCTACTTTGATTTATGATGAATATGAGGGTCACGACGATGATATCGATCTGAGTCTTAGAGCTGGTTTTCATACATTATTGGAGTATCAGTACGTGTACTAGGAAGAAATGAGGCATTGATGGCCTGACTCGTAATAGGAGCATGGCGATGGCAGTGGGTCTGCACCACATCGACTCTAGAGGTTAACTAGCATGAGGCAACCAACGGCCCCTCCTCGGTTGAGCTGGATTGGTAGTATAAGACGGGATAGAATCCGTGATTTTATTAGAGGGCTTGATAGGCGGTCAACACCAAATATTATTGATATTGATCCATATTATCAAAGCATTGTCTACTTTATCTAAAAGGGTAGCATGAGGTTCCAACCTCCAACACCGAAGGAGATCCACGACATGTATTTAGATGAAGAGGTGGCAGAATTGAATGATTGAATCAAATCCTTCAAGAGATAGCAGGACGAATATGAGGTGACATTGATATGCGACAACTGAACAGGGCCAACAAGAATGAGTATCATCAACAACAAATTTGTAATTTTTTATAAGTCACTTAATGCTTCCAACAAGATTTAAGATGTAAACTATATTGCAAACCTGATGGACATCGTGACAGAGGAGATTGGACCACAGTACATTGTCCAGATAGTTACCAACTATAGAGTTAATTTCAAGAAGGTCGGTTTATAATTGATGAAAAAAGAAAAATATTGTTTTAAACTCCATGTGTAGCTCATTGCATGAATCTAATATTGAAGGATCTTGACAAGCTATCATCAATCAGCAAATGTATAACTCGAATACAATCGATCACAAAATTTATATATAATTATTATTGAGTCTACTTTTTGATGCAAAAGTATACAAATGGTGAGATACTCTGACTTGGAATCACCCGGCTTGCTACAAATTTCATTGCTTTAAGGTCAATACGACAAAAGAGGCAAGGCCCCAAGACAATGGTTATCTCATAGGAATGATCCGATTCCAGGTATTCAAGATCAAGCGATAGAAAAAAGATAGAAAATACCACTCTTTCTTCTAGACTTTGAGATGTCGTGAATAAAATTATAATTGGAGTGGAACCACTTTATATTGTCTTTCAGAAGGTTGATATAGATAAGCATCCTTAAATGCTTTATCTTAAACATATGTCGATTACAACAAAAGAGGATGTCAAGAAAGCATTCACAAATAATTTTAAGACTGAGCAATACTTACATATCACTGATCGCAAGATCAAAGTTTATATGGACCAAGATATCTATAATGTCAGTAAATTCATATTTAATATAATATAATTCATAATTTTTAATATTTAATTATTTTACTAATAAAATTATTTGTCTTGCAACGTAGTATCTAAATTTCGACCATTTAATTTTGGTATAGTTTTGGAACTCGATCAAATTTATTGTCGACATTAAGAAATGTTATATATCGACTCTTGCCAAACACTACTAATGTAGTCGATGTTATTATGTAGCATCAATTATTCTAGGAAACAATCGGTTCATTCTTCGACGATGTAGTGGTATTGTGTCATTACAATATGGTTCCTAGTAAGAGAAAATTACACACATATTGATTATAAACTATATTTCATATTAATTATTTGTTATGTTAATAAAATCTTACTTATATCTTTTTGCAGTTGAGCGGTAGCTATAATTTGAAAGGGACACACCAAATTTAAGGAAGGTTGTTGTCTGTGTACATAAACAGACAACGACATCGAGTGGTTGTGAACGTAATTGGTCAACGTTCATATTGATTCACACAAAAGTCTGCAACAGATTATCGTATAAACGATTAAAAAACTAGTATATATCTACTACAACATGTGGCTATAGTTATGGTGTGCCGAGCTAGACAAGGAGCTAGAGAAACCAGAGATTGATCCCATCAACATTAAATACTACAACGAATATTCATAGTTGATGTTAGTGTGGGTCAAAGCAGTGGAGAACTAAGAGGATCCTCTACTTGATGAGACAGGAGATCCTCCACGTCCTTCACATTTTATCACTAAGGCAATAGAAGAAGAGGAAGCACATCCCTAGCGGGGGAAGATCCCCCTCGATCAGAATGTGATGGAAGGAACCAAACAATATCGAGTCAGACTATTCGAGAAACTAGAGACACTCAACCGTCAAAGTCGTTTGCCCAATGTACAAAGGTAAAGGCAAAGGGGAAGGCAGTAGCTTTAGTTGCACTATTGGAAAGAATCAAGTAGAATAACGAGATGCCTTCTCAATCGTATTCAGCAACCCACTCGGTTCAGAGACATGACAACAACATGGGTAGTAGTGTCGCGATCGATGATAGCAATGATATTGGGGATTCGATGGTCCTATTTGCATAGTTTGATGGTCGTACGTAGACCAAGGAGCAGTATTTTATGCATGCCACTTAAAATTCAGATCATGGAGCTCGATGAGGTACTGGTCAATTTTATACATGGAAGAGAAAGGGGAAGGTAGTGGATGATTTTAAGTAGATATGATAGAGCCTACATGACATAGACATAGAGCGAAGCTCGTATTCAGAGCTAACATATTATGGAGAATCTTATGGCCATTAGAAATACGCTGATAGTTGGTCATTCTTCTCCGAATAGCAATATGATAATCAATCTTATGATACGAAGCAGCAAATCAGTGGCAAAAGTATAAGTTCTAGCATTCTCCAACCTCTATATCAATACTTGCCATAATTGTACTTGCCTCAGAAGCCGCCACAGACACGTGTGGTTCACGACGATCAGACTACGACCATCATCATATTAATACACTAGTGGTATATAGTGTATCAGTATATTATATCATGGGATCAATTTCAGGATTAGATCCGGCAAACATATCAAATTTATATATAAATACATAAGATCGATGACCCTGATCCACCGCCCATGGAGTTTTCTCTTTTTTTTTTCTTGTAGTAAAATCAAGTATATCCATCGATCAATTACTTGATTTATTTAAATTCTAAATTTTAAGTTGTTTAACTCATAATCTAATAATTCAATATCAACTAAGGAATGGTTTGGAACATACCACAAAACTACTTCTTAAAGCCCAAAAAACATATATACCATTATTCTTTCCTAATTTAGATTATTTTTACTAAATTTATATTTATTCCCAACTTAAAACCTCTAATCTAACCTTTTATATATTTTAAAAAAAATTGAAGCTAATTTTTGCTATTTTCTTGTGCCATTGATACACTCGATCGTACCGACACATGGTACATTAGTACAGGGTAATATATACTGTATTGTTGATTGGTCAATACACCAATTCGGATCGATAAGACAAACCCTAGTTAAGATATCATTCATAGAATATCTAATGCTACCAAAAACAGATAAAGCTATCATATTCCTTACCTTGCTTTTGAATTCCTAAATAGTATCTAGAACATCTTTTAAAAACAATGAACAATTCAGACTATACATATTGAGACCTATGGAAAACCTTTTTTTATGTCCCACCTTTTAGAAAATTGTCAAAAACGCCATGACATTTATTAATCTAATTTTGCAGATATTAGTGAGTTGAAGGGTGCATCATGTTATATGTTTGGACAAACAATTTTCCACAGTATGATCAATACTGATCAGTTAGTTATGCTTTTAGTATATCCGTTTATGATCTTTGAATGGTTCGTAGATTGACATGACAATGGCAAATCTAGCAAACACATAAGGATCTAATAAGTCATAATATTAAGAAAACAAAGATCATCTTTGTACAATACTATGGTAGTGTTTGCTAAATGAAGGTTTAAAGAACCAAGAAGCAAGATCAATATTCTAAAGAAGATATATAGATTTGAATAGGGAATGCATAACCATAACAATAATCCTACGTATGGGTTTTTTTATCCATCATATTTAAAATGGTACAATCGCACATATGAGGAGAATTTTACCTATCAAGCCGACAAATTGGGCCAGTAATAACCTTATATAATGACCTTTTCACAGCTGACTTCCATGAAAAAGGAAATGAACCGCCCTAAGTATAAATGTTTCAAACAAGTTAGAATGTAACCTCGCATATTTTGTAGGCAATGCGAAAAGAGAAGGTAGCTCCATACCCAACCAAAGCTCCTAGATAGATCATTTCCTGTCCCAAGTGGAATGATACCAATTGGAGGAACCGGCTCTCTGTTTTGCACATAAAGTTCTCCGAGGCTTTCCAACACCCAGCCTACTGTACCATCCCCTCCTGCAACCTACCAAGAAGAAAGATGATTCTCACGGTTACACATACTCCCACAACACCGGCATTAATTAATCCTTGTAAAGATCATTGGCATCCTAACCAAAAAAACTTTCAGCTGATCATGGCATGCTTCTCGCAGAATTATGTAAAATTAGCTAAAAAAAATGCAAAAACAATTACTATACCCTAGCAAAGATAAATAAAACAAAAAAATTTGATTATCATTGTGACACACTGCAATAGACCAGCACTAAAAGAAGAAATGTAGATTGCGTAATCCCTCATTAATTTGAAACGACATACCATGACTCTCAAATTTTCACGAGTAGCCTTTGCACAATAATCGCCTAGGTCAGCCAACCTCTCCAAGAAGGCTAAACCATACTGAACAAAATCCGAAGGCTTCGTGACCGAAAGATCAAAGACCTGCATTCACAAGTCTCTTATTACGGATTCCTAGAGTATGAACATCATAATTGCAACGGAAGCATCAGAACATTACAATTCAATAAGCAGGCCTAATGAAGAATACAATTTCTCAGTAATTAGTCAAGTAAAAGTAGCAATCACAAAAGCCCAACTCCAAATTCGTTATCCACTGGAATAAAGCTTCAACACTGGCATTCCCTCGTTCGAATTCCACAATATACCTAGTGGTATCCGATCCGTGCAGAATAATTCGTATGTATTTGTTTACTGTTCATTGTTTGTAAATCTTTCAGATCATTAAAACAGGAGCGACGAATAGAAGGAAGAGAAAGATCGTTAGTCTGGATGCTCTGACCTGGTCCTCGCCGATCAACTCCTGGAGCCGGCTCTTGAGGACGGGGCCATGGCGCTTCCCGCTCCGCGAGTTGACGAACACCACCAGAGGCGCCTCCGGCGCTTCCTCCTCCCCATGCCCGCCTTCCAACGCCGCCACCTCCGCGGCGCAGAGGTTCCTCGACCTGACGGCCTCCACCATGCCCGCCAATAACCGGTCCGGTATCAAGACCCGCCGCCGGAGGTCCCCTCTACCGACCCTCAGACCCGGGAGCCCGCACCCACGGATCGACTCCACGATCGAGGAACTGGACGAGGCCGTCCTCGACGGCGTCGAGGATGACGCCACCGACTCGACCTCCGCCACCAGCGCGGTATCTTCCTCGTCATCCTCCTCCTCCTCGGCAGCCCTCAGCGGCGACGCCTCCCTCAATCGATCGGCTCCTCGATCGGAGGAATTCAAGAACGAGAGACGAACTTGTTTCCAGAACGGAGCCGGTTTCATCCCCGACATTCTCGTAGCTTCCGTCTTTCGTTCCCGTCTCTCTCTCTCTCTCTCTCTCTCTCTCTCTCTCTCTCTCTCTCTCTGTGTCTGTGTGTATATTTGGAAGGTTTGTGGAGAGAGCGAAGACGAGCAGTTCCCGCGACGAACATAACGGAAGCGCATACGCCCTCCTAATTTGACTTAAATTACAAAGGATTGCCACGAAGTCGGAGGAGGCCATATAACGACTCTAAATCACGAGTTCTATATGGCCGAAGAAGAATTCAATCGCCCGTTGTGGCCTTCGTGAAATGTCACTCGGCTTTGAATGATATCAATGATGTAAAGAAAAAAACTCCATCCAATTTTTCTTTAGGCAATATTAAGATAAAATACTATATTCAAGATTCTCAATTTTACGTATATATATGTAGTATGAGATTGGATGGAAATAATATTATGATAAAAATATTATATTCAAGGTTTATAGTAATTTTGTAGAGTCTCTATCGGTCATGGCTTAGGCTAATACTAAATTACTTTTGTATCTTAGTGTTGGTATATTCATAAGTATCAAGGTTTAAAAAAATCTTTAAAATCTAAAAAATAAAAAAAAAAATACTTAGCAAATGTCTTATACCTAATGATACATGACGGTGTAGCTTATCGACCATACAAACCACCTTGTATCGAGGGTATTGCCCAATTTATCAGGATCTACTTATGTATTCAAGGTTTGGTATTTTATAAATCAATAACATGTTATCTAAATCGAATAAGAATTGGATAGAGGCAATATTAAGATTAAAAAATTATATTTAGGGTTTAAAATTTTATATATTTATAGTAATGCATTTAGTGTGGATACGATAGATAGTATGTACAGAGTCTTAAAATCATCACGAAAGAAGAGTAGAAAAATATTAAAAAATAATCAACACATATCTTTTACTAGGCGATGTAGATCTTATAATAAGCGTATGTATATCATATGATTTATCGAGGTCTTGTTGATTCGATAAATATCATTTGTAGATGATATTATTCTTGATTAATTTGTGATGTTAGACTATAAGATGGACCTTAGTATCATAAAGTATTCATTGGACGCAAGAAGGCATGTAATATTTGGTGACGAAGAAATATTTCATGTTGAGTCCTGCAATTGGGCTTTGCTATTAGCTTGGGTTGGATTACGAGTTAGGCTATATGATGGTAAAGCTGGAAACTTAGAGAAGAATGAATTGGATTTGGATATTTGGATGGCTAAGTTGAGATGATTGGTAATCAAGGAAGAACAAAATAAAAGGAATATTGAGATGTGCAAATATAAATGAGATTTCCTTTCAAATCACCACACATTTGAGTTCTACAAACATAGTTGTCAGAAGAATTGGCTACGAGCAGTCTCTATTTATTGTTCTACTTCATAAAGAATTCAAGCAAAGTGACACTCAAACATACTCATTGATCTACTTCACAAACCCATAACTATCACATATTTCTTGCACATAAGGACTTTTAGATCAAAGGAAGAAGCTTATTTTTTTTAATCTCATTAGAATATCACCATAGGCAATATTCTGATAATTTAGTTAAACAATTTTGTTTCAATTGTTTGATTATAGTCCTCTTATTTTATCAAGTTATTGATCTAATTAATTAATTAATTAGTCAAGTTATTTAAACCAACAAAGGAGATAATAGAGGATTAATTTATAATATATATACATGTCATTATCCATTATAAAGTTATATGGTTATTATTATTTTTATAAGCATCCAACTCATATTTTATTACAACAATAGTCAAATCAATTGATTTTATTTGATATGAGAATTATTAATAAATATTTGTGTACATAGAGATCGAAAAGATGATATATATTGGGTTTGATCCATAACCTAATAGGCTTAATTTTTTTTGTGTCGAACTTAGGTATGTCAACCTTGACTCAAACGCATTGATTTCTAACATCGTATAATCAATTGGCCGTAACCAAATGAACAAAATAGATCCAAACAGTAGTTTAATTTATCGAAAGATTAAAAATAAGAATTAAGAGAATAGGATTTTTTTTTTCTCACCATCTATGTTAACCCTAATAATTGTCACAACTGGAGTCTGATGAGTCAACTAATCAATAACTTCATTTTGATTTTTCAACCACAGATCAAAATATTTAAGTGAGAATTAATATAATATACTCATCAGAACTATATAAGGCAATCATATATATTGTCAACTTCCGATGTGGAACTAATGAGATGTTATAATAATATTAATAATTTAATTATGATAAAATTATGATAATCTCAACCGATATACATTTAATGTGATCTATTTTAATGTTTCTTCTCTCAGGGATTAGGTAGGAAGGAGAATAGGTATGAACTGTTTCATCCCTTTCCAAGCTCACCCTCATGGCTTTCAGTGGCAATACTAACACAGAGTCCCAATCCAAGGAGGCAACCATCACGTGGGACGGCCGTATGCTTACAAGATAGCGAGTTCCAAGTAAGCCCCGTCACGTGCATCACACGCATTATTCAATGACTTCCACAGTGTGTGCATGTGATCTCATGCTTCTGATGACAATGACCACTGGAATTCAAGCCTCACATTATTGATGGACTCGGGATGGGCTGAGAGTTCAATTGGCTGTGCATATGATGTTGGGAGTTATTTGTGTTTGATCTCTTTCTTTTTAGGAATTCAAATTCTAGTGGGAATGAATGTTCAAGGATAATATAGACATTGCATGTAATATAGACAATATTTGTCTCAGACTTGGTCATCAACTAATAGCTTAATCTTGTGTGAGAGAAGTAAGCATGAAAGTCAACCCATGAACTTTTCCCCATAACACATTCTCAGCTAAGATATTGCTGCTACCTTTGCACTGTGGAGAGGAGGCAAAAAGGCAATGAATGGAAGCACATGCATCACAGATTGAAATGTCTAAAGGACTTTGTCTTGTTCGGAAGGAATCAGCTGTCTGAGACTATGGTGGTTCAGCTGGCCTTTCAAACTGCTTATTTATTGATGTGTGGTCACAAGTCTACCTCTGTGCCTGCCTAATCCATCACACCACTGCTGTGTGACCATGGAGATGGAAAGAGACATCAGTCACCAGGATCTGAGGATGTCTTGGGACTTTGAGCTTGTTTGCTTAAGTTTCTTGCTCTTCGTTTCTGGAATTGAAGGTGCAGATCTCTTCTGCATCATTAGGTTTTGACATCTTCGAGAAGCTTGTGCAACTTTTAACTTCGGTGGGTGATGAAGGTGAGTCGAATTGTCCCAACACAAGAAAAAAAATCTCCTTCTGAGAAGTCTGGTGTCATCTCTATCCCCTCTTTAATTGCGTGGGGGATGGTTGAATGATTGAGGGTGGCTCCTCCTCAGCTTATTTAATGCTCTTGATGTGCTAAAAGGCAAGAATATCTTATGAGACTCTCTTCCTCTTGGAGTCGGTGTAAATATGTCTCAGCTCAGGGGATGCTCTGTATTTTCCTTGCTAAGATCACTTAATTCTGATCTATGATACTGTTCTTCAAATGAGAAAAAAAGATATCTTCATGTATATCATTCTTCTTTGATCCAGTAATCTTTGAATCGATCTCCACATATTCATCTGCTGCTTCAAGATGTACAATCCAACCACATCCCTGTTGAGCAACACCATTAATGCAGACATGCACCTGCAGGTGCACCTCTTTTCAGCATAGCATGGCAGCATCTCATGTCCTGTTTGACTTGGTTTCATTGTAATCTCAGACATACACTAGGAACCAGATTTGGACCCACATGATGCAAGAGTATGATACTTCTGAAAGAACAAAGAGACCTTTGACATAAACAAATCACAGCAAATTACAAGAGCATTTTCTACTGTAATTGTAGTATATAAGAAAGTTAACCAAGAGATCTTCTTGATACAAGCCTGACCATGCCTGTGGTTAGAATGTCACAAACAATAGGACTATTAGCTGAGAGACATAGCAGCACTTTTGATCCATACTGTGAAACAGTAGCACTTCCCTGGGACCATCAAAGCTTTCAAGTCCTGAACATAGTACTACTGTGCACAAAACCGGTGCTCATCATTTATTGGAACCAATCAAACAGATGACTGCATAGTCCGAGTGGTGTATTTACGTATTCAGATTAGCAATTTGGATAAGAAAGAAAAGTTAAAGAATGTATGTTCTGAACAAAATAAACTAAAAGAATACTGAGGAACATATTACAAGTATTCTTAGCATTGTGAATTATATGGGTGTTAACTTCTCCAACCTATACCTATCGGTAGTTAAGTTCCTCTCGGCATGGTCTTAGCTTCCCAAAAGAAGTTTAGAGAAAAAAGATCCCCATGTAATATATACATATTTGCTCAAAGAATGTATCCATCAAGTTTCTGTAGACCATCAAATGTCGTGGCCACCATCGATATAGATGGCCACCGTTGTCGGCAACCAATCCTTGACATTGCTTCTCTGTGCTCGGTTCTCCATTCTCGTGGATAGCCGAAGGACTAAGACCTCACCATCAGCTTTGAAGTTATCTCTTAGTTGCCTCAAGCTAGGAATCAACACCCGTTCGGCCCAATCATCGAAAGCTGCACCGCTGAGCCATGCACCGCCAACAATTCGATCAAGAGCATCCTCGTCAACCCTTATCGCTTGCCCCTTGCCCATAATGGCTGTAAATTTCACCGATAAGGACTCGAGTGCATTCTTTTTCAGCAGAACAAAGTCCACCGGCTTGAATGTTACAGCTTCGTCCACGAGTTCCACTAGTTCTGACGTCAACGATGATGTCGAACACTTCATAGCGAGCCTTCTTTTGTCATGTTCATGCTCAGTGGTGAGGTCACTTGAGTTCCATGATCCCTCCCCAGCCTCAACATCAGTTCCCACAGCTAAATTCAGATCAAGGGACAGTTCGGTGCTAACATATGATTCCTTCCTGAACTTAGCTAGTTGATCATTGTCACACACCCAAGTTGGACGGCGTTTCCCAGGCCTCTCCCCGGTGGTAAGCTCCAATTCCAATCCACAATACGCTGACTCCAGTATCTTTCTCTCAGACTGGAGGAGGGAATAATAGTTCTTCAACTCTTCCGGCAGCCAGTCAGCAGTAAGGACAAAGATAACACTTCCCAAGCTGACCTCCCGACCATATGAGTCGGGTAGACGGCCCCTCTCTATCGCCTGCTTAATTTTACCCTGCAAAAGCATGTCTGCTTGATCAATGTCTTCAAGCACAATCACCGAGAACGGGTTCTGCCAAACTGCTTCGACGATTCGGTCCATGGATGTCCTCCCACGGAAAGTCAAATTGGACTCTCCATCATTGCCGTTGGTGCATGAAATGTGACCAAAATTAATGACTGTAGGTCCAATGCCAAACATTAGCTCAGATAGGGCACTTGCCATCTTCCTCTTACCAACCCTATCGGGCCCAACAAGAAGAAGCCAAGTATCACCTTTGGTACCACCACTCCGCCGCTTTCCATTACCAGACTTGCATTGCAGTACAACAGTCGCAACGGCTGATGCTGCTTCCTGTTGCCAACTGACTCTCTCTGTAAGCCCCTTAAATAGTCTTTTGTATTCGTCGATATCCAAAATGCCACCAATTTTAGCCTTCTGCTGACTGGAGAATGTGCTTGGCATGCACCCAGTGAAATCCTTGAGGCGGTCTTTACGGGTAGCATCAGAGGAAGAATTGAGAACCTTTGAGCTCCCGAGGACAAGGTCAGTCTTCACCGGGCTCCCAGGAGGGCTAGTAGGAAGTTTAGCCGCAGGTGTGTCCTGGTTGCTTTCCAACCGAAGGGGAGAGAGGCTCCGAGAAAGATTTAACTTGGGCTCAGATGGTGGATGTGTTCTCAACACACTTAAAGGCTTTGACAGAGCTGGAGTTATTGAAGGCAGCTTGGTGTGCAATTGATGGAAGCTAGGATGAAGGCGGGAACAAGTCCCGCACCATCTCCTCAGCAGCTCCTCAGTGCACTGCTTCCAGCGTAGCTCTTCCTCCTTGGACTACATAAAAACAGCGTTTCAACCGTTCAGCTAATAAGTAATAAATAATTCATATGATTGTGCATCATAGTATATAACCACTCAAATCAGGACCTGAAGAGGAGCAGATGAAGATTTAGTGCTCCCTCCATTACTGAGGTTCGCTAGTTGCAGCCACTGAGGTAACGCCTGGCTCGCCTCCCGTTTCGTAGAGTACTTCTCGAACTCCTTCGCAACGAGCTTGGCCAATTCACACTCATAGCTCTCCGTGCAGACAGGGCAGAGGGTCGTTCTTCGAGGAGGGTCAGTATTCTCGGGTGGCCGTCTCAGGGGTCCTAAGCCTTTCATCGGTGCTAGAGTCTCGACAGACCTGCTTGGTATACCACTGCTCCCAAGCCTACAATTTGAATAAAGAAGAGATTTAGTTCAAGCTTCAAGGAAAGCACGTTGGTCCTGAAACCTCATACAAGACCTCGAAAAGAAAGGCAAGAGAAGCAACAGCTTATCTATAAAAGAGGCTACAAAAACTACTGCCATTGAGCTTCTTAATTCATTCAGAAATATCCATGACAGTGACTCAAAATACATTGGATTAGGTGAACAATCACCAGATCTTGCCACTGTCCAATTCTTCCCGCAAGATAAATATTTCTTCTAGTTAAGTTGGCTATCAGTCAAAGAAGAACAGGGCGCTGCTCATTAATGGATTACTAGATAAAGAAACTATGAGACTAAATGCAATGAAAATGGTACAATTCATTTGATGCAGAAGAACTTGGGGGAAAGAGAGCAAGAAAAATCTCACCTTGGGAACATATTGGTAAGGGATGACCTTGGCGCGATCGGTACCACCTGCAGATCCCAATCGTTCTCCATTGTCGGGTGGTACACCTGGCAGCGGAGGTACGTCGCGGAAACTGCCGCCCCGACGAGCCACACGCGACCTCCATCTTCGAACTTCTTCAACAGCCTCCCCATCTCCTCCACCACCGTCCGGCCGGCCTCTGAGACCACCGGCTTCGGCGGGTGAATTGGGCCAGAGCCCGTCGACAAGCTGGGGCTCTCCACGAGCCATTTAAGGTCCCCCAGATCGAGGATCACACCAAGTTCGCCGCCGCGCATCATGGACTCGATCGAGCTGCTGAGCTCTTTGATCTTTACGGTGACCTGGGAATGGTCGGGGGTGGCGGTGTCGATTTCCTTTGCAAAGGGGACGACTTGGGTATTCCGCAGCGGGGACGGGGCATCGATGGATTTTATCCTCTGTAGTACTTCTCTCATTACGGCGTCAAGATTACAGTCCCCGACGAGGATGGGGTTTCGCTTTTTGGATCGCAAGAGGATATCTACAACCCGCTTCACGTCCTCCGTCCGGGGCTGATCGTTGCCACCTTCGGCAGCGGCCGGGGCGCTGCCGCCATCGTTTTCCTGGTGCTGGTTGAGGCGGGGGTTCATGTAGAGGTTGCGGCAGGGGGCGGCACGGTTTGTTAGACCGAGAACCAGAGAGGCGGGGGGTGCAGGAGAGACGGTGGGGAGAGAAGCAATGGATGTTGCGGAGGACGCGGCGTAAGACGAGGATGATGAAGAGGAGACGGATTGTTCGAGGGTGGACTTGACGGCGGTGGAGGAGAAGCTGGCCTCGCGCATCACGCGGCTAACGGAAGGATCGTCAAGAATCGACATGAGGAACTGGTCCAGCTCGACCTTAACGGCGAGGAGCGGCTGCTGCAGCTGCTCAGGGCAGCCGCGACGCTGGTTGGCCTGGGCGCGCTTCAGGGCCGCCATGAGCGCGTTGGAGATGGGAGGCTCGGCGAGCACAGCGGCCCCGGCTCTGCCTCCAGCGGCCGCGGAATCGGAGGCAGGGAGGCGGTCGAGGGCGACGGAGAAGCAGAGCTCGAGGGCACGGCACTGCAGGGGGTGGGAAGACTGCGGGTGGGAGCGGATGCAGGCCTGGCGGAGGAGACCGGAGGGGGCGGCGAGGAGGGTGGCCGCCACGTGCAGCGGCGTCGTCTGCCCGTGGCTCCGCCGCGCCGCCTCGGCGATGGATTGGGTCAGAACGCTCGCCGCCTCCGGCGTCAGCGTCTGCTGGATCGTGCTCAGCCCCGCCCTCATCTCTTATCCTTTCTCTCTCTCTCTCTCTTTCTTTCTCCCCCTACCCAATCCAACACATAGGAGGAAACTTCCAGTTCCGAAAAATCTCACCTTTCCCAGCTCAAACCCATTACAACCCCACCAAAAACAAGTCTTTTTTTCCTCTTCACTCTGCTCTCACTCCTACAAACAAAAAACGAACGCGAAACAGAAAGAAGAAAGGTTTTGTTAGATGAGAGACACCGAATGATATTGCTCCTGGTGAAGAATCTTAACCAGAAGAACCCATGGCTCAACATGCCAAGATACCGAGAGAACAACAGCTAGAACAGAGAGAAGAAACAGAGAGCTGGAGAAAGCTCCAATGGATGGGAGAAAGATCTAATTTTTCTCTTTTCTTTCAAGAGATGGTACAGCAGTTAGGAGGAAGAAGACGAGGACGACGAGAGCGGAAGCGAATAGAATCTTCTTCTCCCATCTCCTCCGCTGCTCATTTTTATTTCCCCTATCTACTGTGGGAATGGGATTTGCGTTGTGAACTGCGAGATAAGAAAGGGTATACGTGTGTGGGATTGAGAAAGAGAAAGGGAGGATTTTTACGACGGGAATGGAGTTTCACTTCACCTCCTCAACTCGCGAGAGTAAAACTCTCTCATCCTTTTCCCCCTCATTACTTCTTCGATCAGGTCTGGTCCATCTTTTGGCCTTTCAATTTGGTTGTCTCCTTGCGATATGGTTAATGTTTCGAGCACTGTTGACATCATATTCCCATCCTTTCCGTTCCTCAGCTTATCATTCTGAGCGCAAAATCTCATGCACAGTTGTAAATGACTTCTCTCTCCACAAAGGGCGATTAGCTAACAGTGGAACAGAGGATTTGACTGTGAACGTGGTTAGGTGTCCTCTTCATCATCTTTCGTCTCCTCTCTTGGCCTCATTGTCCACTCGTTTCCGAAGCTTAGAAGGCAGGTCAAAACAAGGAACTCATCGTCGCCATTATTCCCCTCAGACCCACCAACTCACTCGCTCCTTTCGCCTTCCCCTTTACGCCTCCATCGAGTGGTGGCTCGGTGGTAAAAAGGCTACGTGCACATCTTTTGGTCTTTATTACCCCACTGACTGCCATCTTCTCAGCTTTTCACGGCCAAGTCTAGTGGCCTCCTCCTCCTTCCTCACTCCCTCGCTTTTCTCTCCCTCTCTCTCCCAACTCCCCATCTGCATGCCCTCTTTTGGGATGAAATCTCTGTGGCGCAGAGATCGCCTCCGTTGGCCACAAACCCGGAAAAGCCACCTGCATTAGTGCGGGTCTCCTTCTCACTCTGCACCCCTCCACCAACACAGCAGGCCATGCCGGTGCTCCTTCATGACGTTAGCAGCAGGGATTGATTATTTGGATAATTAGTCCAATATATTTCGTTTCAACCATCAAAATTATTCTTTAAAGGCCTATTTTCCACACAGAATTCTATCTTCTTCCAATGATCAGAATACTCTCATATATACAAAAATAATTATAATAAATCGAAACATTAGATAAATAATAGAATTCTCTATGGATAATCGAAGAAAAAGATGTTAGGCTTTTCTCGAAAAATCGTCATGTGCGTGAAAATAAATTTCATCGATTAATGGTCTCAAGTATCATCAAAATATTATTTGATGATGGCCACAAATAAATATACCATCTCAACTCAAATTATCGAAATAAGATGTTTAAACACAAGAGAGATGAGATGAGATGACAGCATAATTAATCCACCCCTCAATGATCTAAAACTAGGAGTTAATAGATAGCAAACAAAATCTAATTTAATGTAACAGTCATCATATTTACTTTGACTTTATCTATATAGATTAAACTCACTCATCTTTCCTGAAGTTTGACCTTATCAAAAACTACACCAAATGTCATTTTTACCAACATGTCGTTGTTAACTTGTTGGTGTCGTAGACAGATCTTAAACATACATATACAAAAATGTCTTGTTTTGACTGACAGCATCTTCCTTGCATATCTATCAAACAAAAAATCAACCTTCTTGAAATTGAGAAAACAGATAAAAAAAAATATTTAACTCGAGATCCACGAACAATCATTTCAGTAAATAGTTGACAGACAATATAAATTACAAACATAAACGTTACAAACTTTGAAGGATCACACAACAAAAGATTTAAGGTGATCCATCGAAACCAAAAGTCTCCATAAATGTTCATATGATATTATTATAGAACAAGACAATGAACTAACCCTAAACACTATCTTAAAGGCTCATCTAACCATGTACTTCAAACTACTATGTAGAGTTTGAAAACCCTCAAAATGATTGTTTGGATGATTTGTTTATCTCTCTATGATGACTATATTATAATTTATGTTTACAAACCTAAAACAATCACAAAAGCAAAATAAAATATAGTTATCAAATGTTTACTGTAAACTCACTCTCTATATATTATGTAAAACATGAATAAAATAAAAAAAATAAATATATAAGCATTATATCGAATATCTTATTTATAATTTTATTCGTAATAAAAAAAATAATAGTAGATCTGTAACTAAGGCATATATATAATAATTTTATCTGTAATAAAATAAGGTTGGTGTCTTCTCCTCATGTCACAAAAAGAGGAGAAGAGCAATAAATGAATGGCCTTGCCATGTGTGTTGTTGTCCATCACACAAACAATTTCCATAGAACTAAAAACAACAACTCAGTATTAAAACACAACAAACGTGGCCAGTATGTGTGCATGCAATGCACTCTTGTAGTTTTCGCAATGTGGAGGAGGAAAGTGTTGTCGGTTGTTCCTTTCTCATCCTCTCTCTAGCAAATCCACACCTCAAAGCAAAGCATGAGATTTCCGCCTTGTAAGCCATCAACAGGTGTCATATCTCATCGAATATTTAATGGAGAGTCAATGCCATCGAGCTTTATGCATGTTTTGAGGACCATTCCTCGGTGGAAGCGTACACCATTGGAAAGCCAACGATGATGAATAATTGTTTAGATAAAGACATGAAGTGGTGTGATCACACAAACACAATGTGATGTGGTAATGACAGGCAATAAGATATACAACACAAGCTGACATTTTACAGTATCTCGGATTGTTATTTGGATCTTCGAATATTGAACTCATCCCGTCTCAGTGCGAGCTTCGCTTCGCTTGGCTTCCTTCTCTCCGGAGACAAATTGATTTTGGTGAAAAGACCATGAACTCTTCTCGTCCTCTTCTTCTTTTTATGGAGAGAAGTATTAGGATCTATGCTTGAATTTTGAGCTTTATTGTAATTCGTTTTCAATTTATTTATTTTTTACTTTAATTTATATAAAAACATGCAAAAATTTCAAGTACATTTTGCTAACTATACCAACTTTGTTGATTCAAAACCTTTATAATTTGATTTTTCTTTCGTTTGAACCTATATAAAATATGTAAAAAAAAAATTTAGTATGATGATTTATTATCCTAACTTTGAATTTTATATCTATAAATTTTGAAGATGTCACCTATCTTAGATAATAATAAATACCTTAAGTAACTGTTTATAGCAAAACTCTGAGATTAAATCTTGTCTTCATCATATAGCCTCTGAAATAATAATAATATAAATCTTATGTTTGTTATTATTCTGAATTTTTATTTTATTATTGTTTCTCTGAATTAGTCTTTTAGGAGTCTCCTTTCTTCACTGTTTGTTTACTTCCCTGTCAAGCTTAGGATTTCTTAAAAGCATGTCAGCAACAAAAGGGAAAGAAAGCTCTCAACTGGAAAGTGCAAAGGAAAAGGCTTATCCTACAAAGTGCAGATGGAATCATTTTCTACCACTGACTGAGACCAAAAACTTAAAACCTAATCATGCATGGAAGAATTGCACCTCATGAAGCATGTTGGAGTCTTCCAAAAGTTGCCTATAACTTCTATCCATCCTTTCTCAGTGCCCAGAATGAACAAAAGTAGAGTGGATGAAGTCCAACTCAAAGCCAAGCATGCCACCTTTCTTGCAGTCAGGTCTTGCAAATGCAAAAGTGCTCTTCTAAAGTTGTCCAAAAAGCTAACTTTTCCTTCCTCCTAAAGTTTCACCATCTTGCAAGAGAAATCTAAAAGGTAGATTGATTCCCAACTATATTATAGTTTGGTATGTGGTATTCTAAAACTGCTTTTTTCCTTTCTCCTTTTCTTTTCTTTTTTATGGTGAACAAGGAAAATAGAAAAAAAATATAATATAAGTTTTGGGTAATATAAATGTTCAATAATGAATACATATTACTGATAAAAAGAACAATGCATTTTTTTTTTCAAAAGTTATCAGCTAATAAATTTGTTTTCATGATCCATTGATATAATTTTGAGTGATGTATTAACTATAAATTAACATAAATAATTAATTGATATAGTCCCAGCAAATGTTAGGTAAGTATTTTATAAATTTTATTAAAATAATTGTTGGTGTTAAAAGATCTCAATGATAATAAAAAAATGCATAGTGTCGATTCTAAATAGTTAAGACTTACGATTTTATTTTTGTAGATGTCAAAATCATAAATTATTAATATCAAAATTAATTGTCGAGATTCACATCACAATGTCGAGTCCACTTCTTAAAAGATCATTGTGTCATCAAAATTATTTTTTTTTTCTCAAAATAAGTCCTTCATATTATGAGAATCATATGCACAACTTGCATTAAGAAATAACTATTTACGTAGAAATAATTAAGAAATAATCGCTCTTACCGATACTCCACACAAAAGCTCCATCTATTTACGTAGAAATAACTAAGAACACCTCAGCATCCGCATCGATCAATTTAGACCCACTTGAAGTGGTGAGAAGCTCCACTTCAACTGGATTCCATCAAGATGGCATCTTTCTTTCGATGCTCGTCAACAATGGAGCATATTCTCGAAAAATGAACTGCCAGATAGGAGGAAGAACTCATTCTACCCCAATAGCTTAGGGGACCGAATCGATCGAAAACTCCAACTGTCATCTCTTAATGCCAGCTGATGTTGCAGCTCGAAGCTGCCTGCCTCTTCAAGAAGAAGACCACTTGGATGCAACTCCGTCACCATGGCTACCTCATGTGTAAAGTGAAGATGATCCCTTTTCTTCGAGAAGAGCACCACTTGGATCATTTATCCAAGTCAAACTAGTTAAGATTAATATGAATCCAATCGGTCAATGTACATCATTTATACTCTTAGCATAAATCTTCATTTAGCATCTCCCTATCTTCATATATGTCTTAATCATCATCTTTCTCTTATTAATAAGGGTGATTAATCCTTTTTTATTACTTGGTTGTGGTCAACCTTTAGCTTTTCTTTTTTTTTTATTTGCTTAATATGAGCCTTATAAGCTCTAAACCCATATGCAAAAAGAGATTATAGTAAATTCTCATTTATTTTTCAACGTACGAGATTAATATGTGTTCACGTTATTTTGTTGTCCAATATTGGTGTTGCCACAATATAGAAGACGTGTAGAAAATCTCAAATCATGTTTATTTTAATCAATTATTTTTTTCAATCTTATATTATTTGATATTAGAAGATAGATTATATTGTGTTAATAAGTATTTTGGGATTTCTATAGCCAATGTCCCAATGAGAGATTATATTTTAATTTTTCGTATGAGCCTTTTAAACTCTAAACCCGTATGGAAAAAGAGATTCTAGTAAATTCTTGATCATGTAATAAGTTGTTAAAGAAATATTATTTTAATGAATTATTTTTTTAATCTTACATTATTTAAGATTATATTGTATTGGGATTAATAAGTATTTTAGAATTTCTATAATCAGTGTCCCTATAGTATAAAGAATCATAGTACGAAAAGAAGACATCGTGGCGAAAGAATACTTTGCTAATCAAGATTTAATTCTTCTATAAATATCATATATATCTTTAAATTTTGATGGGAGAAAGCAAAACGTAATTAATACTTTTGGTACTCTTAGATTTTTCTGTAAATGTAAATTCTTCGAGACACGAAAGAAAATTTATGTCGAGTGAGATAACTCAAGAATATATAGATAAAAGAGACTATAAATCAAAATAAAGCAAACGGTGATGGTGATGCCGAATTGAATGAGAGCGGTGGATGGTGGATGGTGCAAAAGAAAGAAAGAAAGAAAGAGAAGAAGGGGATTCGATGCATCTTATCCCATGCGTTAGCTTGTGAAAGAAAGAAAGAAAGAAAGAAAGAAAGAAAGGTGAAACGCTTTGGGGGGGGGGGGCCGATGCTAACTTTGTGAGGGAGACACTCGTACGGTGGTGGAGAGGAATCAATGAGCCGCTCCTCTCGTAATGCTGCCTTTCGGGCATTGTTTCATGGGGGGAAACGTGACTGCAAGGGATGGGGGAGGGTGACCGTCCACCTTTAATCCCTTGTACTGGTCCGACATCAAAGGTGAAGAACATTGTTCCCGGACATCCACTCACTCACTTGCAGATGTGATGGACATGCCCCATTGGATGTGTAATATAATAATAGATAGATAGCACACACACACTCTCTCTCTCTCTTGGATGTGTAATATAATAATAGATAGATAGTACACACACAGTCTCTCTCTCTCTCTTGGATGTGTAATATAATAATAGATAGTACACGCACAGTCTCTCTCTCTCTCCATGACCACAACACTCACACAAATCATTTTATGAAACCTTATAATCTATAATAAGGTTAATAATTAAGTATGTTAGGATTTGAACTATTAGGAGTTCTGTTTTTGTATTTTGAAACAAAATTATAATGCTTTGAATTGGTACCTAAAAAATTATAAATTCATTGAAAAATAATTTGAATTATTACTAAACTAGTATGGTCGAGGAAACGATCGAGATTATTAGTCGAGTTCAAATGGCAAAACCAAACATTTAACGATGATATCTACGGATATCTAAGTATTTTGAAAATAAAAGATCAAAATTTTGAGTTCTATTTTTATATTTTGGAATAAAATTACAGTGTCTAAAATAATTTATAAATTCATTCAAAAATAATTTGAATTATTACCAACTATCCAAATTAGTCGGCATTAACGATTATCAAAGATGGCATATGTGAATATCTATCTCCAAGACTTTAAAAAAACCTTAAAATTTTAGATTATTATTTTATATATAAAAAAAAAATCCTTTCACGCCCTCAATTGTGGAGAAAGGCATCTATTTATTTAAACTCGTGGAGAAAAGAAGAAGCATTGTTTCTTTTTTTTTTATTTGACTCTGATCAGCATCTTAGCCATGTCAGAAAGATCAGATTTGATCTCATGTTATACCGATTCTATATTCTCGAATCTCTTTTATGTTTGTCTTCACGAGGTTCTTACTATTAATCGTCAATATATTTATAAAATTAATTAGATGAGGTCTATGTTTGATATACTATCATATCATATCATATCATATCAGTGTATGTAATAAGTTTTATCGAATAAAATTATTATCTATGAAATCCCTTTGCATTATTAATAGCAAAATCATCAGCGCATTGAAGTTTCAGCAGCCCAAACAGTTAACCCAACCATAATGTCATTAAGTGGCTGATAACTGTAACCGACCAAATTAAATGGAGCATTGAGGGTTCTTTTCCTCTTTTTAATGTGTGTGGCAGACGGACGAAGAGAGAAATTGGTGCATTATATGTTTGTGGTGGCCGACAGAATGACAATAATAACCTGTATTTATGCATTACCCATTACCCATTGCATGAAAAACCAGGCAACACACTTCTTCTGCTGCATTTTACAAGTATTATGGATAATTAAAGTGTCATCGTAAAGACTAAATATTATAATAATTGTTGATAAGTGAATATTTTGTGTGTTTTTTTTTTTTTTTGGAGTAAGTCCAAAAGATACATCCAAGGAGGGATAAAAGTGATTCATACTTTTTCAAATAATATAAAATTAAATATATTAAGAATATTTAGTTCCATATTGATTGAGAAATAGAAGAACTAATGACTTATAAACCTCTCGTACCACTCTTATTTTTAGAGATAGATATTTTTTGAGAGACTTATCCCGAAAGGTAGGTAAAATCATATGTATACATCTAAAATGGATGATAATTCCTCATCAGAAATAATAAGAATAAATATTAAGAGTGAAGAAATAATGAGAAGAAAAGATATGATATATACCTTTGTCTGTCTTGTGCAAAGGAGAGGAGGCCCAAACTCTGGCCTGGCAGCTCACTAGTAGTGATCTATTCTTTGATGTACCCAACACAAACTTCCAAGTGTTTGAACATTAAGGAAAAAAAAAAAAAAACACAAAAGTTTGATCTGGTAATTTTATGATTTTTTTTTTGAAGGAAACATGTTGATGTAACTATGCCAATGGTTACAATATGCACAGTTAAAGAGGTTATTTGCATGATGTAGGTAGGTATAAGCTACTATAGCAATTATGGGGTTTAAATTGCTAAAATTGACTATGACACGACCTAATCACACAACCTATGTTGAGATTAATTTCTAAAGTTATGATGTGTTTGATAATTATTATGGGTGACTAATAATTACCAAAGGATTAGGAATCTAAGTATTAAAAAACATATATTTTATAAAATAAAATTAATCTCTACTTTATTTTTTTTTTTGTATGTTAAGAAGTTTAATTTTCAACGCGAACATAAGTAGGCAATACTGAACTGCATAAATCTTGTATAGATATTTTTTTAGTTTACAAAGATCATGGTTGACGCATGCGAGGAGAAGAAGATCATTGCAAAGACAAATCTGAATGTGTCCTAACACTCTCCTGGAATGATGTACATGAAAACCAAGCAACCAAGTATGCAAATGTATCATCCTAACAGTCACTCTCCTGGAATGATATCCAAAAGAGAAAATTGGAGAGGTCCAAAGGCAGATTAGATTCTCTAAGGGTATGTCTTTAATCCCGTGTACGCGTTGTCCCGCCTGTTGTTCCTGAAGGCGCAGCATCCGATGGAGTAGACGACGATGAGGAAGACGAGGAAGACGACGTTGACGATGGCGACCTTCTTCCAGTCGCTCTTGATGTTGGCGAGGACGCCGGCCTTGCAGGACTGGCAGTCGTAGCAGAGGACCGATTGATCGTTCTGCCATGCGTTGCAGTCTGGAACGGATGTATTGTAGCCTACGGGCTTGGTCCAGAAAGTCTCATTCACGTAGATGAAGTTGCAAGCTGTAGGAGGCTTGCAGCACCCAGACTGTTCGAACAGGACAACACAACACACCATGTGAGTATGACTACGACAAGAGATCCCATTTCATTTAGTGCAAAGAATATGATAAAATTGATGTATAGACTAACATCTCATTTTGTCTTAGTTTATCTTCTCCTGCCGTAATTTCTAACATCTTATTATGTCATAATTAGATTTGAAGAAATTCCTAACTCATTAACTTGGTAAGATAGGTACAAGTGGAACTCTAATAACATAATAGATAGGACTAATTATAAATTATCCCGTATAGTTAGACCTATTTGAATCTCTAGATTTAAAAAAATTTATATAATTATGAAAGTGAAATATTTAACCTTATTTATCATAAATTTTAGCGATTGAAGATATATATAGAGTCAAAATTATCTTTTTGCTCATTATCTTTTGTCCATGTGTTATCACGTGCTATATCTTCCGTCAGTAAAATCGTTAGTTTTTAGATAAATAAAATAAAATATTTTATTTTTATAACTATAGGAATTTCAACATAAATTTTTGAAATCTAGATATTGAATATAAAGAGATATAAATATAAAAATCTTAATATAATTTTTTTAAGTCTAAGACTAAGATATTAGAAAGATCTAACTATAAAGAGTAATCTATAATTAACCCTAGCACATATTATATATAGTTTTCACAAATCCACATCCTAACTAAGTTTTCACAACTTAATTTAGTCCAATAATAACTAACACATTAACTTAATATGTAACTCCTCCCCGAAAATAATCCAAAATACTTTAGTCAATATACAACTACTTCCACGCAAAAAAAAAAAAAAAAAAAATCCCTCTATCTCCATTGTCAAAAGAGAAGACCCTATCTCTATTCCAGACCTAAATCTTGATGACAACACGCAGGTAGAGCCAAAATGACCTGAACGAGTGTAAAGGACATTGTATTCGGCACTACAAATATGCGAAAAAATAAGCAGGGGTGATAAATGTAGCATTTATGACAAGAAGGGCCAAGCATATCAAAAAATTGAAAGCAATGTTCGAATTATTTGTATACTTGGAGAACTATAACAGTAAAGGTCGAGAATACAATAACATGGAAACAACATTAACATGTGCACATTCTGGAAAGCATTTTATGTGCATCCAAATAATTGTCGCAAAAATTAAAGCTAATGACATTAGGTACCAAAGTTGAAGAAGCAATAAGGTTTTCATTATTTTAGATTTCCTTTAAACAATACAATAGCAAGACTGCCTTTTATGATAGATTAATCTAAGTTGCCCTGCATATCATTTTTGTTGAAAACACAATTGAAAGTTGCAATTTTGATCCTAGGTATTATAATCATAGAATAAGAGCACATCTTCAATTTAATTTATGTCAGAAGTATAAAGAGAATTGAATTGATTTATAAGTGCACTTTTGGCTTTGACATACTTAAATATTGTAGATTGATTTAGATTTACCAAATTAATCGTACCCACTCATATAAGATAAAGAAAAAAGAGAAATTTTCATTACAAAATAGACAAATGAGCAAGAATAATACATATAAAAGGAAAAAAAAAGGGATTATGAGGATGCATCAGAAATAATAAATGACATGGTAAGGAAAATATCATGGAAAAGAATAGTATTACAAGGAAAGAAACAGCATAAAAAAGCGAATTCAATTAATCAAATTAAACCACACTAGTAACTGAACAATTAACGAAGCAAGAAAACAGAACCCGTCTTCAGAAAACGCCAATTTCAATGAACAGAAATCGAAGCCATAATAAATGGAACTAAAAATCAAATAAGCGACGAGTTCCATGCTTTCTACTTTTTTGTTTTTTTTTTCTCTTTCTTCAGCAAATTTTCAGAGTTTGTTAGTGATCTCAGAGCAATATTGAGATGTAATCAGCAAGCAAGAAGAGAGATATCATATTAGAAGATCCCATTTTCTGAGGAAAAATAGAGAGAACAGGGTGAGTTTTCATGGTGGAATCATATATTCTTGGGAAAAGGGTATAAAGAATGGAGATCGACAACAGTAAGAACATGGCGATCGGCATGAATCGAGATTTCCTAATCGTAACAAAATCATAGACGAGAGTTTTAGGGGGAGACCTGAATGGGGGAGAGGTTGTAGTTGACGAACTGATCCCATGTCTGGTTCTTCTCCTGAAGGCTGCGGCAGACCTTACCGTCCTGGAGGCAGCTCTTGATCCGCCTCCAGTTCTTGTCGCTGTCGACCCGCTTCTGGAGCCAGTTGGAGTAGTCGCCGAGGCGGTACTCCTTGAACCCGCGGCCGGAGACGGCCTCGCCGGCGCCCTTGTTGGTGACGACGAAGGCGAAGACGGTGAAGCAGAAGAGGAGGATGATGAGGATGAACATGACGAGGAGGTAGAACCAGAGGAGGCAGGAGTTGCGGCAACAGGCGCCGACAACTCCGGCGAGGGAGACGAGGAGGAGGAAGACGCCGAGGGCGATGACGGGCCACTGCAGGAACTTCTCGCAGTCGGTGGTGGCCCTCCGGGCCAGCCATATGCCGGCGCTCAGGATCGGGATCGACAGGACGAACGTGATGATGTTGAGCACCCCGATCAGGTTGTTGCTGAAGCGAACCATCTCTCCCCTCTCTTACTCTAACCAAGGGGGACGAAGAAGCGTCGGAGAGACAGAGAGACAGAGAGAGGCGATCAGTTCAGGATGGGGCGTTGGAAGAGAGGGAGTCTCTATATATATATATACTGAGAGAGAGAGGTTTCAGAGTTCGAATACTGTGCGATGGATAGCGAAGAAAGCTGCGGCAACGGTTGGTGCGTGCAGGTAAGAAAGTGGAAGGAGGAGGAGGAGGAGGTCGTAAATTTACGCGGAGCGGAGAGCAGAGAGGCTCGTATTGGTCGATCCATCGGGCCCCAGTGTGGACCCTCCTAGTGTGTCATGTCACGTGACCCCGTTGCCCTCTTGTTCTTTCTTCCGGCTGACGACGCATCCGGACTTTTCTCGGGAGGCACGTGCCTCGAGATCGAGTCATCCATCTCAATTAAGTATATAAATTCGGTTCCTTTTTATTAATAAATTTTATATAATATTTTGATTTCGTCAAATTTGATCATCAATTTGATTTGGTGAGATTGATTCGACCGCATTTATGTTTCGATTACCATCACATCTGAAAAGGAGTAATCGTTAGGTATCTAAAATATAGAAAAGGCTATCAACTTAGTTTGAGAGTTCTAATTATAATTTTATAAATATTAAATATATAATATATATATATAATTGAGATTTATGATATTATTATTATTATCATTGGATTAAAGATTTGAGTTCTTATTCTGTGAACTTTCGTTTTTCTTTCTTCTTGATGGGAAGTGCCATGAAAATGAAAATAAATTATTAAATATCTCTACATTCTTATCATTTCAATCCTTGTAATGTAATGAGACGAGGCATTCCAATATGTTATGATATAATGTTAACAAAATGTTTTGATTGGATGTATCTAGTACGACCGCTAATGTAGTGCTGAGGTAATGATAGATAAAAAGTGAACAAACAATTAGTCTTACCCAATCCAATTAAGCACACATCAGCTTATTATAAGGGAATCTTACGAGGTTAATTATAGATTACCTCGTATAGTTAATTATGTTTAGTGTTTCGTTCCTTATACTTTAAAAAGTTATAATGAAATCCCTATACTTACGAGAATAAAATATTTAATCATATTTTTTCTCATACCGTCGATTTTACTGATGAAAAATATCACATGCTATCACATGCAGAAAATGAAGTTAAAAGAAATAAAAAAATAATTTTACGGTTGCTATTCTTATCGTCCAAAGATATTAATTTCACATAAGAGTATCCTTCGTTATTTTTCTTTGATTTCGTCCTCCCATTTGGTTTTGTTATCCTACTTTACTTCTTTTCCTTCTCGGGCTTTTCCTTAGCTATCTTCAACGTTGAGACTGCCTCCATCGTGCACTATTGACTCTTAGCCATCTTGGAGAAGGGAGACCTCCTCGATGATTTTGAGTTTAGTGTCAAGATCGACGTTACCATCGCCAATCCCCACCAACGTCGCTCTGAAGGCATGGAAGAAGACCATATAGTTCGACCCCCACAACTTCATCGACAACTAGATCAGCCCCAATGTGTGTGGTTATCACGATATCTTTTGCATCGTAGCGCTTGGTGACCCCTGTGTAAACATCATCGTTGACATTGACCTTAATAGTGTTGATATTGCTATGTACCTCCTCACGGAGCTTGGCCTCTTGACTGATGTCACCCTCCTCTACATCAACTCCAATCATTTTTGTGATATCATCCTTCAAAATATCTTCCATCTCAAACTCCTCCATGACCTTGACGCTAGCAATAATCGTTTCGTCGACTCATTTCGGGACGTTGCCATTCGCTTGCCGTCACTTAAGTATCTCGACTTTCAATTCAATGACTTTGAGGGAGCGTTGTCGTCGGCATTCTTCGACAAAGAGCTCGACACTATATTCTTGAACGATAACTGTTTTAGCTTTTAGATACTCGACAACTTTGTTAACTTCAAAGCTTTCGTCATCGTCATTGGCAGCAACAAGACCTTATTCTGATGAACAAGTTTTTGAGATTTAATCGAAGCTTTCTCCTTGCGGTAGATAGTTCAGGAGGATAGCAAAGTCGGAGGGGAGGACGAAATAGCGATCGTAAAATTACCTTTTAATCTTCTTTTTGGCATCATTTTTTGCACACTTACGGTATCTTGCATTAGTAGAATCGTCAACATTAGAAAAAATAAGATTAAATATTTTACTTGTTCAAGTATAGAAATCCCTATAACTTTTTAAAATGTAAAGATCGGGATACTAAACATAAACATAGCTAACTTTGTGAGATAATAGCCATAGATAATTTGAACCGTTGGATCCACCGAGATGTGTAAAGCTCCACCAAGCTCCAGTTATCTACGTCAGAAGGCTTGCCATTATTGTAAAGTGATTTGTTTATTCATGGATTTGGGTCAGATGATGGCGTTGACCGCGCGCTTTGGAAGACGTCAGTAGGCTGCTTTCTCCGCTTTCACGCTACCCATATTATATCTGAAGCCCACGATAGAGTAACGAGTCATTGACTAAATAGGGGTGACGAGGATATCAGAGTCTGTGAATTGCCATAAAAAAGAAGAAATGATACGAGATAGGGAAAAGCGACAAAAATGATTAAGCTAAAGTATAGCCGACGTAATTGGATTTAATTGACTTGGTCTATATCCAAGTTAAGACTTGTATCTCAAGATTAATGAAATGGGTTTACTTACAAAAATAAATTTAAAGAGCGACGACTTAATCAATGCTTCATTTAAATATCATGATCTTTTCATCCAAGTTGATGAAAACTGACAGCCGGCAACAAACACCGTCTTGACTTTGGTGCGATAGAGATAGAGATAGAGATGTTCGATTTTAAATGAAGGATTAAGCATGATTTAGTTTGATGATAACATCAATGTCATGGATCCTCATGCTTCATATTCACGATGACACAGAAAAACAATGCAGCATAGATAGGCTTGTTTTATCACAATATCATATGTAGAGAATCTTATTCTCTTTGTTAATTTATATAAACTAAAAATAATTATTTTAGTCAAGAATCTTGAGGCCTAACATCAAGTTGAGACTTGGCAAAAGATAAAAGTGTTCAAATACTGTTCAACTACGCTGCAAACCTAAAACAACACATACTTTGAGGAGCAAAAAAGGCTCTCCCAAACGCCATAACACACGATGACTAGGTCCATTCAAATGCACATGGAGAGGCATGTGCTCCCACTTCATCCAAGTACACTTGATTGCATTTTCTACAAGTCAAAACTTGAAAGATGAACAAAAGCGACTTCCACAGATAATAATTCAAGACAATTAAAGTCAGGAGAGGGAATTCTGATGTAGAATTCAATGTAGATGTTTAGATGGTTATCTCTAAGCTCCATGATGTAGAATAAGTCATCATTTTCTTTTGCTTGTGGTTTAGGTGATGTAGAAGTTCAGAATATTAGGAGTTCAGAATATGTGACGAGACAGAAGAAATAGCGTACATAGAGTAGATGGGATCCAATGTGATTTGCCGTCAAATTCCTCAGTTCAGCTGTCTTTACAGGAGCGGCTTAATCGGCCAGAATACCACGACGTCAGAGGATTGCACATATCAATGGAAAACAGGGGAAGACGAGCTCTTAAGTCCTTGATACCATATCATCCCCCTCATTATTTTCCTCTTTTCCTTCTTGATGCGATTTCTGATGCCCAGGCTTTGCCTATATCAGTCTGAAATTTACCTGCAAAGCATATGACATTTTAGTGTGGAAGAGAAATTTAGGATGGACAATTTCAACAAGCATCTTTTACTTAGGAGAGTTGCAGCTCCAAAAACCGACTCATGTAAAATCCCAAAGGAGTGAGAGGGTTAAAATACACACCATGGTCCAAGAAAGATCAACCCATATTCTTTTCTATACATAAAGACTACTAAGAACTGAGCGCTGTACATTAAGATCAAACTAATGCATTCGGTACGGAAAGACTTGGTCATTTGGCCTTCATGGTTGCATAAAATATGTGTTCTGATTGATAAAAGTTGGGACTAATCTTAAATTTAAGATATGAAACAAACACTAGAAACTATCAATTTTAAAATATCAAGGACTGAAACTGGATGAATCATGCATAATTTTAATAACAAATAATATTATTAAAGTAAAAGATAAAAATAAGAGAAATCATTTTAAACAGTATGGATATATGCAAGGAGGAGATGCAGATTCTCGGATTAAGACGAAGCGAGTGAGTTAAATTAAGATTTGTTGTGCAAAGAAAGTAGGAGAACACCAAGGAAAATCTATAAGAGTCCATAAAAAACATATGGCTGCTTTTCGGTTTGATTGGTAATATCGCCCTAAACAACATTCAATCACCAGAAAACATCCATTAGCCAACCCATATAATTTAGACTTTATGGTTTGCTATTTTTTTTTCTATTTTATTAGTTCTCCTAAGAGATTTGTTCTTAAAAGCTTGGAAGAATAAAGGTTTCTTTTGGCAAGGTTTGCCTTTATTATAAAATAAATTGGTCCAATGCCAGAAAAGAACATGGATGGTACAGGTCTTGACAAAAGTATTTAGATGTTAAAATTTCTCTAGTGGGCACAAAGCTCATACCTGCAGTAGACTCAAAAAATTCTTCCAGATCAATTCCTTGCTCTGCATTGATTAATATCCAACACAAATCAGAAAAGTTCAACCAAATTTAGAGGATAAATAATATTGTTTATTTATAATGAAAAAAAACATACTCGGATAAGTGATTTCACTAAATAGAAGTTATACAAGAGCTGCATAGACTTGCACAAAAAGCAAGTGCAGCACAACATATAAGCTGCCAGTGAGCAAGCCAAGGAGAAAGAGCTAATTCCTTTCTAAGCTTTATGTCACTTTGACAATGTCGTTGAAATTTCACATGATGCACAAAATTTTTGCATGTCTTGAAGTTGAAAGAGACTTGAAGATGACAGCTTCAAAGTTCAACATTCCAGTCCAAAATGATTTGTTGCAATAAAATAACATATGAATATCATATAGTTCAAACTGGGCTGGTTTAATGAACATTGTTGGAGATAGTCCCTATTAAATTTGTAGTCACAAACAGTTTCCCCATACCTATCGGTTCTAAGCTTAACAAAAATCCTCAACATCTTACACCTCATTTTTATAATTAACATGTCATATTCCTCTCAGATCAATTGTTCAGTACATGAATATTGTGATCCACAAGAAAGTGCAAACAGTCATTCAATTACCAGAACAAATGTGCAAAACCTTACCATCTTCATATTCTAGAGCTTGAAGAATCATCTCAACCTGTACAAGAAAGCAATTATTGAGTTCCAAAGGGCCTGACAGATAAACTAGTGCACAAAGTAGTGAGAGAATGAACTTAAAGATTACTTTGGTGATAATTTGATCATTATCTAGGGGGGAAATTTTAAGAGCTACCATACACACCTTGAGGGGGAAAAAATTCAAAATTTAAGAATGCAAAATTAATTGAAACCTTTTAGATGACACAAACTCTAAAAAATAACTAGTGAGATCAATGAACAGCAAACACCATAATAAAAAAATTTTACAAGCAAAGTATATCAATGTTGTAGGTCAAGGGATCATATAAACAAATGAATGATGTAGGTGAGAAAAAAAACAGATGTCTGAATGTTGATTCACTATCTCAAAAAACAGAAAAAATGCTACTGTTCTAAAATGTTTCAGACTGAAGAAGATGATAGTTGAGGGTGATATATTTAGTTGCCTATTTGATATTGTGGAAGTTAAGCATGTAGTCTAGTCAGAAATTGGAAAAAGAGGCGACTCCAAATTGACATATAAGAGTTAAATATATTACATACTTAAGAACAGTACAATAACTGATATCAACACAAAGGACACCTAACAAAATCAAATATGGTAAAACAACTGATATCACCAGAGAAGATTGGATATACTGGTTCAATCACAATATCTACCTAGAGAGCTCTTGAACTTGGAACTATCTCTATTAGAAAGGTAATTCTAAGCAAAGCACAAAGTTCAGCTCTTCCCTACAACAGCACTCCTCTTGATAATAACATGTAGAAATGTACCTTGTCAAAATCCTTGACTAACTTTGCTTCTGGAGAAGAATTATCTTCATACTCCATCCACAACTCATCTATTTCTTTAGCTGCAAAGTATAAGAAAATATGTAAACACAAGAACTTGCTGCAAACCTGAAGCAACAAGTTAAAATCATACTTAAAAATATGATAACATTCTTTAGAACACTATGCTGGGGAGAACTTGTTCCGATATTGTTCATACCACTGAAACAAATTAGATTTAAAAAATAAATAATGAAAACATTCTTTGTGGAATTAGATCTACCACTCAACTTGTTTGTAAGACCAAGCAAAAATGAATTCTGGACCTTCAACAATGTATTGTCACGAACGATCGTCGCGCACCCGTAACAACTCCGTTCAACGAACCGTTCGTCGCTCTCATCTACATGTACAGCTACTTGGCAGCCTGTTTTGCCTTGGTTTTGAGTCATTTTGCTTGTAAAAATGTAAGTTCGAACAAGTTGCAGCGCTACAAAGCGACCGCTCACCGAACCGAGCAAAACAACCCCAAAACAGCTCCGTTTTCGTGTGTCGTGGGCTGTTTTCTACAGCCCGCCTCCGCTCACCAAAACGTCAACCATCTCAGCCCCTTTGAACCCCCCGAGTGGCACAGGGCTGGATGGGGCTTCGGTATAGTGTCGGGCGTTGAACAACCTTTCGCAAGTTCCCACGTTACCTTTGACGGGAACTTGTTGTCACGCCCGACACCCGGTGAGCAGCTGTTTGTGGACTTGCAGCTATTCGTTCAACCCTCTAAAGTCCTTGTTTCCCCCCTCTCCCTCTTTTCTCTCGTGCACGCAAGGTGCTCGCTGAATTGCTTGTAAAGCTTCCCCTCTTTTCACGAGACATCGGGACTTGTCCGTCGCTCGTTCTTTCGAACTAATCAAATTTCTCTTTTACAGGTCCTTCAGGACCTGCGAGAGGTTACAAGTGGGCTGATCTTTGCGAAGCAATATCGCAAGGGCGAAGCACGACTTAGGCAACGCAAGCTAAGTTCGCGTCTTTGTCGCAAGGGTGCCTCGCGACTTAGGCAATGCAAGCTAAGTTCGCGTCTTGGCCGCAAGGGTGCCTCACGCCTTAGGCAATTCCAGCTAAGGCCGTGACAGTATGTTCCACAATATACTTGAAAATATCAAGATGAGAAAGTATATAAGGATGAATGAGCATTCACACGCATGGTTTGCCTAACCGATCCATACCGGTGTATCGACCGATTGTCGGTACGATATATACCGAGCTGTATTGAGCCATACCGAGCATAACGACACACGATACATGGGAGTATACCGATGTACCGCCTATACCAGTCTCCTATCGGACCAGTATATACCGCCTATACCGAGTGGTACATTACAGTACAACAAACCTTATTCACACGTTCATATAATGTTGATCTCAATACCAAGTCATGGGTGCTAAGATAAATAAGAGGGATATGAAAAGCAGACTAGTTATTATGTTGTACAGCTGACAGAAAAAAGGCATTCAACATTGTGCATGAAAAAGTATACCACAAGGCAATTTGCGTTATTCATATCAAACCAACATTTACTTGCAATTGACATGCTAAGAATGAGATAGAGGATGATGCAATTTGCTCTTACAAAGTCACTATCTGTATTGTTTGTTTATCATATGGTGGACTTGCATCATGGTTTCATGCAACCAAAAGCAATAGAGGACTAAAAGATCTTTCACTATAGAGAATGTCAACAAGAGCTTTGCTTGGAGATATTCCTCTTCAGACTTGTTTAACATGTCCTATGATTCATGTTCATCACTAGTCCATGCATCAATCTTTCTCCTTCTCTTGGTGTTGGCAATGCAGTGCTTTTATGTGTGTTCGAGTTGGTCAAGCACACCATTTACCTATTTCGTATAGGTTAAACAGTGGTCTTTGGTCATACTTGTGAACCATGTTTTGCCATTTTGTAACATTTTGGACATTCAACATTATATGCTAACAGCGGGGACAGTGAGTTTGTTGCAGGCCAGATATTTTGGTAGTTTTTGCCAAACAAGCAAACATAGAATATGGATCAACCGATGTTGTTAGAAAGCATGGGTACCCCATCCAAAGTTGGAAAAAAATAAAGTACTGAGAACATATATGATAAGAACTTGTGGTTGTATATATTGGATAATAAAACTGGAATACACTTTCTGATACTGCTTCAACAAATTTTGCGTGCATACATCAGTGAGCAATGCTTATCGAAGCTGACTTCACTTTATTTTCAATTAGAATCAACACTGAGAAAGAAGACACAAAGAAAATAGTGACTTGGAAACATAGCTTCAGTTTAGATCTCTCTATGTAACAAGGGAAAAGACCTTCATATACCTCTAGATCCCCCACCAAGTAATTTGCACATGTAGTCCAAGGCTTCGCGCTCCCTTCGACTCTTTTCCAACTTTGGTACACCATCAGTTGGAGTTATGTCGCCAACAATAGCTAATGGAAAAATTGATCAAAACAACAGAAATCAAATAAAGCAAAAAATAAAGTAATATGTTTTTGAAGGTAGGACCAGTAGAGATCAATAAAACAAAATGCTGTCTTAATAAAGATCCTAGCATTGTTATTTTCAAAATCATCAATTTAACCACTAAAAGACTAGTATCTACCAATTTGACAAGATAAATATATATACAAGGCAACATTGTATCATTAAAAGCATCAAGCAAAAAAACCTTGGTATTTGTGGTCTATATTTTGTTAGTTTCCTTTTCACTTTTTACAGATTGTTTAAATACTACCAACCTTAAAATCTTTTTATCAAGTAAGATTGTTCATAGTATAGCATATCCTCCAATAGAATAAGTACAAACATATAACTAAAGGAAAATGAACCAAGCCATGTTTTAAGAGTGCCATGATTCTAAGCATACCAACAATAATAACAAATCATAAGGTCCCAAATACTAGATTACACCACTTAGAAAGTATACAAGAAAGAAAAGTTCATAATCTTTAAATCAATGTAGTTGCAGACTTCTGGGGCTCGCCTAAGTTACTAATTGGTGGATCTGAACAGGCGAATAAAAATCAAATGGCACAAAAATGACAACAAAAGAAAGGGATTATCCAAAACCAAAGATCTACCGTCTTACCCTCGGCGATATCATGCACGAGCGCCATCTTTACACACCTAAGCAACAAGAAGAGCCACGTAAAGTGTTAGAGAATCCATGGAAACATGACCCGCGGGCGGCTCTCGGATAGTGGAAACCCTAACCTATCTCGATCGACCCCGGGAATGTCCTGGAACACGAGGGACATGATGCCCATCCGGTACATGTGGTCGGCCACCGACTCCGGCTCTCGCACGCCGCGCCGCACCCATCCGGCTCTCTTCGTGGTCTGAGGAGCACCGGGCCGAGACCCCCAAAGCATTAAGCGAACGCCATGTTCAAGAAAGAAAGGAGTGTCCGAGAGGGGAGCTCACCTTGAGGCGGTGGCAGAGGGAGAGGAAATCGACGGCGGAGGAGGAGGAGGAGGAGGAGGGGGGAGGGGCGGGGGGATCGGGCGAGGCCATGCGTACCGCGAGATGGGAGATCCGACGGAGGGGACTGAGACGGGTGGAGAGCACAGGGAGCAGCGACTTAGCGCAGACGGCGCCTCTCCCACCCATTTCCTTTCCAACCTTCCCTCTTTAGGCTTTAGATAAGCGCGCATGCATCGCGGAAGCCGCCATTTATCTTTAGTTCAATTATATTATCATTTTTATTTCCATTTCACATTTAACTATATATTTCTTTCCCTCCCCAATTAATTATTTGATGTCTTTTCCTTAAGGTTTACTAAATCATTGAGATATGATTTTATATATGTTATTGGGAGAATATATAAATTAATATTGAGAATATATGTTACTATTTTCTAATAAAAATAATATATTTTTATTAATATTATCGAAACGACAAGGTTTAGTATCCTCATGTAGCCTATTGGTACTGTCACTACAAAGATTGCACCTATTAGATCAATTGATTGGTTGGACGATACTGTGGAGACTTAAGGTGACTCCTATGATCCAACTTTTAGTGGGTCACTTTCATTATTTTTCTACTTGATAATTACTAAATTCACCAATTTTAATTCCTCCATTTGACAGTTTACTAAAATCATATTTGTCATTTTTTGTATTCAAAAGAAAAGATAGATTTATCTAATCATGAAAGTGATTTATCTAAATTCATGTTAGTTCAAGATATCTAATCATAAAAAGATAGATTTATCTACAAATGGATTACCTGATTACATTGATAAAAATAATATAAAATTATGAATGATGTCAGTTAAGATTAAAAGGGTTTTATGTCATTCATCGTTGTCCAAATGCATGGTAGCTTAAGTGTCAATGCTTCATAATGGATAAGTGATTTGTTTTCAATATGTCATTTTGATCATAAATCATGAACTCGAAGCCATCGTCTTAGGTTAGGAGAATTTGAGACAAGCAATCCCACACTTCAAAGAACAAGCGTGATATGGTTTCAAGAGTATTACGACATAATAGGTAGGTTTGATGAGTTGCAATTGTAGTTGATGGGGTTTATAGCAACCGTTTGTGGAATAGTTGTAGATTTTAGGACCAATAAAAAGTTTTCATAAAGTATGACAATCTTATCCATTGGAATCTAGAACACAATTATTCTATTTGTAGAAAGAATAAGTATCTTTAACTATAGCCTTACTGCAAACTGATAAGTCATCATACGATGAATGACCAATCTCAATGGAGTTAATTTCTTACTAAATCTCTCTGATAACAAAATATTAACGCCACGATAATGTCTTTCAACGCTCCTCAAACCATTGCCCAAAACTTGCTATCTGACGAGGAGAAGGGGGGAGAAAATAACAACCAAAAAGCCTAGCTCATGACGATTTAGTTTCTTCCTTATTGTCAAATTAACTTCTTCTGGCTCAGTAAATTATTATCTCCGTAATAATTCACTCGACTCATCAACTACGGACATACTATACCACTATGTCGCAGTCCCCAGATTATGCTAGGGAATATAATCTTTTGAACATGTTTGTCCTCAGTTACCATATATCTATAGTTTCTCATCCATCTAAAATCCCAAAGACCGTATACCGAGTATGGTGCTATTAGGCTCATATAGTTTCTACTCGAGTCTCGCTCTAATCCGATTCTCTCGAATAATTTTTTTTCTCTCAATCCGAATGACCCTAGCCAGAGATTTGTCTAAGCAAGAATACATGGGGTATTCCTCTCATGACACCGAGAACAGATGATTCTCTATCGACACTTAATAGCCCTCGTAAGGTTGGTTGTCACTCTAAATAACTGGTTGTATTAGATTTGAAACTTTTAAACATATAACTCTGGTATCAAAGAGTTGAGTACTAATATATGACATCCTTGGTGTCTCAAGTCTAAGAACCAAATACACCATTGAGATGACGGAATCGTTGTATGACAATGAGGCATTATCAATTATCTAGCATTTCGTAAGCGGATCAATCAGTGAACTCATTCTCCAATAAACACATGCACTGTAGCCCTAGTGTCCTCACATGAGCAGCTATGAGACCAGCCGTCTCCATCATATAAACGAGTATACAACACACCAGTCTATCCGATTATCTCGATATCCCACTCGAGTAACTTATGACCAGGATTATTTAGGGTCTATGTTTAAAGGTAAATCAATCTCATTATAATGATCTCATCACGATCTGATTTTCATTGCACAGATCTATAGACATCACAATATATTTATGTATTAAATAATATAAAGTAAAAAAATCATAATAATAATAAAAAAAAGACTATGTGTCATGTCACATATGTCATCACTCACATGATTAGATTGCAGGGCACCTATGACTAGCAGATCCATCCAGGGTTTATCTCTAAGATTTGGAGAAGTCTACAAAATTCTTTAGGCACACAGTTAAAGTTTAATATAATCTTTCACCCATAGTCAATATAAGAAAACAATACAAACTATGAAAGATTTCTTAAGAGCTTATGTCTTAGACTTTGGTGAAAGTTGGGATATACACTTGCACCTAATTGAGTTTGCTTACGATAATAATTATCACTCTAATATACAAATGACCTTAATCGATTCAAAGAGATGATGATTCAAAGAATGTAAGCTATGTACTAGGATAAGGTGGGAGAATGTAAGCTTTTGAGACCTTAATCGATTCAAAGAGATGATGATAATATTCGAACTATATATTAGATATTATTAATAACCCAAAGTCACTAAAAAAGTTATGCAAATCGAAGACGAAGAGATGTAAAGTTCAAAGTTAGTGATTATGTCTTCTTGAAAGTGTCACCAATCACAAGAGCCATGAGATTTAACCAATGGGGAAAGTTAGCCCTTAGATTCATTGTCGATTTGAGATCTTATAGAAGGTTGAACATGTGGTATACATATTGTCATTACCTCCGGTTGTCATCCATAATGTATTCCATATCTCTATACTCTGGATATATATCGAGGATTCATCTCATATCATATCTTACTAACCTCTATAAATAAGAAACAATTTCACCTTTGTAGAGCAGCAAATTGATATATTGGAAAGAAAAAAAATATATTCTAAAGAATAAAATTATACCTTCAGTAAAGATCCATTGACAATACTATTTGGAAAGAGAAAAAAAAAAAAGAGATAGAGTATTATCCTTACCTATTTTCTTGAGATAAGTTATATTTAAGGATCAAATTTCCTTTAGGATCGGAGAAACCCCAAATTTAAGCATGATTTTTTTATTCCTTTCTTGCTAAGAAAAGTAGGGCGATGTCATTTTTATTAATAAAATTAAATAAAATTAAATAATAAATATATAAGAATAAGAAGTTACATCCTATTGAGGAGAGGTATGTTTTATTATTTTTCTTATTTAAGTTTGTTTAACCTAAATTAAACTCAATCTAGTTCAAATTATACTAGTGTAAGATGATTCTAAATTAGTTAAATAAGAATTAGAAATTGGTTCAGGTATATTTGAGTTAAATCGAGTTTAATTAGACCGATTGAACTAGAGTTCAGATCAATTGAGAGTTAATTAATATTATTTGATATTAATGATATTAAAAAATATTTTAATATGCTATTTCATCTTGATATAAACATGACTAGTATGAGATAATGTTATTTCCGGTAGTGTGACTCACTTCGAGGATTAGCAAGCCTTTAGATAAGGTAATTGGATAGTTTTTTTCATCCACTATTAAGATGAACGTGTTCCCATTTTAGCGGGTGAGGGGTACTACTTTATCCATTGTTGGAAGCACGATATGGGTTTATCTCCATCGTTGTTGGGAGAACACAATATTATCTCATAGGATAAAGTCTCTCTATCTATTATTGAGGGAGTACTTTTTTTGGATATTTGATATAAACTAGTATGATTATTGACTTTTGGTCATGCATTCATTTTATAGTTGATTTATAGGGGTTCCTACTTAGTATTATTGAATTTTTTAAAATTTTTAAAATAACCTCCAAGTAGTACTAGACCCGATTTCAATGGACAACAAACCTTACTCAACCGTTAAATAGAGCTATTTGGATTTATTTTCGAGTTAGCATTATTATGTTTTTCAATAAAGCTTATGACTACTTTTTAACTTATAATTTGATGAATAAATAAAATATAATAAATATTTATAAATTATGTATATTAATAAAATGATGTTTATTTATTTAATTCTGTACATACTTGTGAAAATATGTTTTGATCCTATATAAAAAAAAATTCATAACGTTACAGACGAGGAAGACTAACACGATGAAGTAGAAGATGAGGATAAACATAACCAAGAAGTAGAGCCAGAGGAGGCAAGAGTTGCGGCAGCAGGTGCCGACGACACAAGTGAGGAAGACGATGAGAAGGAAGAGGCCGATGACATGCCCTTGCAGGAACTTCTCGCATTCGATGGTGGCCCGCACGGCCAGCCATATGCCGGCGCTCAGGATTGGGATCGTCACGACGAACATGATGCTGTTGAACACGTCGCGGAAGCGAATCATCTCTCCCCTCTCGTACTCTAACCAAGGGGGACGTAGAAGAGTTGAAGAGAGAGAGAGAGAGAGAGAGAGAGGAGATCAGTTCATGATGGGGGTTGGGAGTAAATATATACTGAGAGAGAGAGAGAGAGAGAGGTTTCAAATTTACGCACAGTGGAGAGCAGAGAGGCTCCTATTGGTCGATACATTGGGCCCCAGAGTGGACCCTCCTAGTGTCATCATGTCACGTGACCTCGTAGCCCTCCAGTTCTTTCTCCCGGCTGACTTTTCTTGGGAGGCACGTGCCTCGGGAGCAACTCATCCTTCTCACTTTTTAGTATATGCATTTGGTTCTTTTTTATTAATAGATTTTATATAATATTTTGATTTCGTCAAATTTGATAATCAATTTGATTTGGTGAGATTAATATGCTTCGATCTGAAAGAGAGTAATCGTTAGGTATCTAAAATATAGACGAGGCTATTAACTTAGTTCGAGGGTTCTAATCATAATTTTATAAATATTAAACATAAAATATACAATTTGGACTTCCGATTTTATTATTATTATATACAAAAAATGTATACACATTGATATATCCAATTTATTATGAACATATTGATAATTTCAACCGTTGGATCCACCCAGGGTTCGTAAAGCTCCATCAAGCTCTC